AGATGGCTTGAGCCTGGGAGGGGAAAGTTGCAGTGAGCCAAGATTAGGCTGCACTCTAGCTTAGAGAGTAGAGCCAGAACCTGTCTCAAAAAAAAAAAAAAAAAAAAAAAAGGAAAAAGAAATTTGATAATTTAGATGAAATGGAAAAATACTTTGAAAAATTCAACCAAGACTGACATAGATGAAGCAGAAAATCTGCATAGCCAATTAAAGAAAGTGAGGCCAGGCATGGTGGTTCATGCCTGTAATCCCAGCACTTTGGGAGGCCAAAATGGGAGGATCACTTGAGCCCAGGATTTTGAGATCAGCCCAAACAACAAAGTGAGACCCTGTGTCTGTTTTTAAAAATATACCTGGGCATAGTGATGTGCACCTATAGTCTCAGCTACTTGGGAGGCTGAGGTAGGAGGATCAACTGAGTCTAGGGAGTTCAAGGCTACAGTGAGTTGTGATTGCAGTACTGCACTCCAGTCTGGGTGACAGAGTGAGACCCTGTTTCAAAAAATTAAGAAATTGAGTGCCGGGCGTGGTGGCTCACACCTGTAATCCCAGCACTTTGGGAGGCTGAGGCAGGTGGATCACCTGAGGTTGGGAGTTTGACAGCAGTCTGACCAACATGGAGAAACCTAAAGTTAGCCGGGCGTGGTGGCACTTGCCTGTAATCCCAGCTACTTGAGAGGCTGAGGTAGGAGAATTGCTTGAACCTGGGAGGCAGATGTGGTAAGCCGTGATCGTGCCATTGCACTCCAACCTGGGCAACAAGCGCAAAAATTCGTCAAAAAAAAAAAAAACATAATCAAAAACCTTTCCACAGGGCTGGGCGCGGTGGCGCACGCCTGTAATCCCAGCACTTTTTTTTTTTTTTTTTTTTTTTTTGAGACGGAGTCTCGCTGTGTCTCCCAGGCTGGAGTGCAGTGGCGTGATCTCGGCTCACTGCAAGCTCCGCCTCCCGGGTTCACGCCATTCTCCCGCCTCAGCCTCCCAAGTAGCTGAGACTACAGGCGCCCGCCACCACGCCCGGCTAGTTTTTTGTATTTTTAGTAGAGACGGGGTTTCACCATGTTAGCCAGGATAGTCTCGATCTCCTGACCTCGTGATCCACCCGCCTCGGCCTCCCAAAGTGCTGGGATTACAGGCTTGAGCCACCGCGCCCGGCCTTTGTTTTTTTTTTTTATTTTTTATTTTTTATTTTATTTTATTTTTTTTTTTGAGACGGAGTCTCACTCTGTCGCCCAGGCTGGAGTGCAGTGGCCGGATCTCAGCTCACTGCAAGCTCCGCCTCCCGGGTTCACGCCATTCTCCTGCCTCAGCCTCCCGAGTAGCTGGGACTATAGGGGTCCGCCACCTCGCCCGGCTAGTTTTTTGGATTTTTTAGTAGAGACGGGGTTTCACCGTGTTAGCCAGGATGGTCTCGATCTCCTGACCTCGTGATCCGCCCATCTCGGCCTCTCAAAGTGCTGGGATTACAGGCGTGAGCCACCGCGCCCGGCCTATCCCAGCACTTTGGGAGGTCGAGGCGGGTGGATCTCAAGGTCAGGAGATTGAGACCATCCTGGCTAATATGGTGAAACCCCATCTCTACTAAAAATACAAAAAATTAGCTGGGTGTGGTGGTGGGCGCCTGCAGTCCCAGCGACTTGGGAGGCTGAGGCAGGAGAATGGGGTGAACCCAGGAGGGGAGCTTGCAGTGAGCCGAGATAGTGCCACTGCACTCCAGCCTGGGCGACAGAGCAAGACTCCGTCTCAAACAAACAAACAAAAAAACGTTTTCATGAAGAAAACTCCAGGGCTAGGTAGTGTATTGTACTAAATAGCTAAGGAATAATCTCACAAACTTCTAGAAATTAGAAAGAGCACTTCCCAACTCATTTTATGATGCCAGTATAACCCTGATACCCAAACCTGACAATGTTGTTACAAAACAGAAAATTACAAATCAGTATCCTTCAAGAACATAGATGGGCTGGGTTTGGTGGTTCACAGCCATAATCCCAGCATTTTGGGAGGCTGAGTTGAGAGGATTGCTTGAGCTTAGGAGTTCAAAACCAGTTTGGGCAACACAGCAAGAGCTTGTGTCTACTAGAAATAAAAAAATATATATATTAACTGGGTGTGATGGCACACTCCTGTAGTCCCAGCTACTTGAGAGGCTGATACAGGAGAATCACTTGAGCCTGGCAGATTGAGGCTGCAGTGAGCTGTCATTGTGCCAATGCACTACAGCCTGGGTGACAGAGCAAGATCCCGTCTCTAGAAGCAAAAACAAAACAACCAAAAAACCAACATAGATGGAAAAATTCTTAACAGCAGAGCAAATCAAATCCAGCAATACCCAAAACGTTTATTGTATGACCAATTTGGGTTTATCTTAGGAATGGAAAGTTTTTTTTAACATTGTGAAATCAACGGTAAAGCTTCTCATAATAGCAGAATAAAGGAGAAAAACCATACAGTCCTTCTATAGATGCAATAACTGCTTGACAAAATCCAGCATTGATTCGTTATCAAAATGAATCATATTTAGAACAGAAGAGGTCTTTCTTAATCTAATAAAGGACATATTGGCAGATTATATCTTTATACTTTCCAACAGTGACCAGAACACATCCCAATTCATATGGTTTTATTTTATTTTGAGATGGGAGTTTCGCTGTTGCCCAGGCTGGAGTGCAGTGGCACAATCTTGGCTCACTGTAACCTCTGCCTCCCAGGTTCAAGCGATTCTCCTGCCTCAGCTTCCCAAGTAGCTGAGATCACAGGCGTGTGCTACCACGCCTGGCTAATTTTTGTATTTTTAGTAGAGATGGGGTTTCGCCATGTTGGCCAGGCTAGTCTCAAACTCCTGACCTCAGATGATCCATCTGCCGCAGCCTCCCAAAGTGATGGGATTTCAGGTGTGAGCCACCAGGCCCCATATGCTTTTCTTATGTGTCATTGACACTCATCCCATCAAGAGGTAGGAACTGTGTCCCCCTTCCCTTGAATCTGACTGAGTGGGCCTGTGACTACTGTGATGTTATGTCACTTGCAAAGGTAGGTCATAAAGCTAAAACAAGGTCCACGTGGTCTTCTTGGAACACTTGCTCTTGGAATCCAGATAACATGCTGTAAGAACAACAAGCAGCTCCTATACAGGAATTATCAACTTGCTAGCCATCTGAGTAAATCATCTTCAAATTAGATCCTTCAACCCTTAAACTTGCTTCATGGAACAGAGACCAGCCTTCCCCACTGAGTCTTGCCTATATTGCAGATTCATAAGCTAAATGAATGATTGTTATTTTAAGTCACTAAATTTTTGAGTTTTGTTGTGTTCTGTTTTTTTTGTTTTGTTTTGTTTTTTGAAATGGAGTCTTGCTCTGTTGCCCAGGCTAGAGTGCAGTGGCACAATCTTGGCTCACTGCAAGCTCCGCCTCCCGGGTTCACCCCATTCTCTTGCCTTATCCTCCCGAGGAGCTGGGATTACAGGCGCCCACCACCACACCCTGCTAATTTTTTGTATTTTTAGTAGAGACGGGGTTTCACCATGTTAGCCAGGATGGTCTTGATCCCCTGACCTGGTGATCCACCCACCTCGGCCTCCCAAAGTGCTGGGATTACAGGTGTGAGCCACCGTGCCCAGCCTGTTGTGTTGTTAGTTTTGCTTTTGTTTTTATAAAGCATTGGGTAACCATAAAAGGCATCCATGAAAAACCTTCAGCTAGCATCATACTTATTGTTGTAATAATGAATTCTTCCTAAGGTCATGTAGAAAGTAAGGATGTCCAGTGTTACAACTTCTATTTAACCAGTGAACCTAGGCAAAATAAAATAAAATAAAATAAAAATAAAAATATAAAGATAAGTGGAAACAAATTTTATAAATTTTATTCAAATAAAACTGTAAAACTAAATAGAAAATAAAATTTAAAAATGAAAAAGTAAAACTGCTTCTTTTCACAGATGACACAATTGTTTACACAGAAAGTCTTAATGGATCTACAAACCAACTATTAGAAATTATAGGTGGTGCTTGCTATGGCAGCACATACACTAAAATTGGAACAATGCAGAAAAGATTAGCATGACATAAATATTCATGAAGTGATAAGTCAAAGATAGCAAAATGAGGCCAGGTGCGGTGGCTCAAGCCTGTAATCCCAGCACTTTGGGAGGCTGAGGTGGGTGGATCACCTGAGGTTAGGAGTTTGAGAGCAGCCTGGCCAACATGGCAAAACCCCATGTCTACTAACAATACAAAAAAATTAGCCGGTGTGGTGGCAAGTGCCTGTAATCCTAGCTACTGGGGAGGATGAGGCAGGAGAATTGCCTGAACCCAGGAGGTGGAGATTGCAGTGAGCTGAGTTTGCGCCACTGCACTCCAACCTGTGAGACCCCGTTTCACACACACACACACAAACACACACACAAGAGAAAAAAGGATGGGCCGAGTGTGGAGGCTCACACTGTTCATCCGAGCACTTTGGAAAGCCGAGGATGGCAGATTTCTTGAGCCCAGGAGTTCTTTGCCTCAGCCTCCCGAGTAGCTGGGACTACAGGCTACACCTTGTTTTGTTGAAACAGCTCATAAAACATTGTACCACAGGTATTGAGACAGTAGAGGTATTTCTGTTGATATCAGGGACAAATACTAATAGAATAACTCCCATTCCAGTGTGTACATATTTGAAAGCCCATGTACATGATAAATATATTAACCTTTTGCCAATTTTTTTTTTTTTTTCCAGACCGAGTCACTCTTTCACCCAGGCTGGCGTGATCTCAGCTCACTGCAACCTCCGCCTCTCAGGCTCAAGTGATTCTCCTGCCTCGGTCTCCTGAGTAGCTGGGATTACAGGTGTGCACCATCACACCCGGCTAATTTTTATATTTTAGTAGAGACTGGGTTTCACCATGTTGGCCAGGCTGGTCTTGACCTCCTGACCTCAAGTGATCACCCACCTCAGCCTCCCAAGGTGTTGGGATTATAGGCCTGAGCCACCGCATGCGGCCCCTTTTGTCCATTTAAAAAATGAATAACAAAAATAAGGATAACCGTTATACCACTGATATTTAACATGGCTCTGGATGTTCTAGTCGATGCCTCCAGAACAGAGAAGTATATAAATATGAAAAATCGGTGCATACCACCGCGCCCAGCAAGGAAACATCTTTTAAAAATGGGAGACACCAGGCCATATTAGAGGCTCAATCCAATAGTGAGGGTGAGGCCGATGATACAAGAGAATGAGGCAATAATTGAAGAAGCGATGCCCTTGAGAATGTTTGAAGCCCTGGGATGCCAAGTGCAAGTGGAGCAATTGCCCTTTAACCAGAACACTTTGTCTGCTATTGAAAAAAAGTGGAAAGAGGTTATGAAGAGTGGTTCAGATATCAGAAGTTTTGCAGAATTTATTTATTTTTTTTAGACTGATTTTTGTATTTTTAGTAGAGACGGGGTTTCACCATGTTGGCCAGGCTGGTCTTGAACTGCTGACCTCGTGGTCCTCCCGCCTCAGCCTCCGGAAGTGCTGGGATTACAGGCGTGAGCCACCATGCCCGGCTAGAAGTTTTGTAGATTTAGCCGTGGCATGATCAAGGAGTTCCTATCTGACAGTTTCTATTTTCTCAATGAGTTTTCCGAAGAAAAGGGGAGAGGCTGTTTCCCAGGGAGTGCGCAGTTCTGAAGGCTAACCAGGGACGCCTGGTTTTGGGCAACTACAAATGGTTGTGTTCAAACTAAGCGTGTGTCAGACACGGGTTGGAGTGTCAAGAGAGAAGGCAGGAGCGTTTAGTCTGCTTCAGATATGAAGACTCCCTGTGTCCCCACGGCGGCGGCCAGAGGCCTGCTGCTCAGGAGAGGCGCCCCACGTGGAACGTGCCGGCGCAGGAGGGGCGGCCTGGCGCAGGTCATTTGGGACCTCGGCGGGTTGGCGCATGCGCGCGAGACGCGCAGGCGCGCGCCCCTTTCACTTTTCTGAGTTTTCTGTGTCATCCCGGTTCCGCTGGTTTTTCTGGCTATAGTTCGCCGGTTTTTCTGGCCATAGTCCCCGCGTCCAGCATGGAGCAGCTGGACGAACTGGAGCTGCTGATGGAGAAGAGTTTTTGGGAGGAGGCGGAGCTGCCTGCGGAGCTGTGAGCGGAGCGCGGGGGAGGGTGTGGGAACAAAGCGGGAGATTTGAAAGAAGGAGCGGGAGAGGCCGCGTCCGCACCTCCGCAGACTGACCGGGCCCAGGGCGCAGGGGCCCGGGGCAGCTCCCTGGGCACCCGACGAGCCTCCGGAGTCGGGGCCCGCCTCCCAAGGTGTTCTTTGGGGCCACCCTCCGCCAGAGCCTGGACTTTCCCTCGCCCAGCAGTTCATTGTTTCCCTTGATTTCACCCGTTTCCCTAATTTGAGGAGCTTCGGCCACTGAAATGTTTTTATAATAGGAAATTGCGACCGCCCTAGGCTTTTCTCGATGTTTAGTTGGATTAACTTATCCTTGGGAGATCTCTGCACCCTCAGCCTGGTGTATATAAATGATCAGAGGAAGTTAACCACGGTCATAATGTGGAATTACTTTCAATATAATAGCAATAATGCTAATTAGCGTTGAGGGATTTTTGCGTTTGGGCTTTTGATCAGCAATACCTTTTGAGAAACATCTTTAAGGCATCATAGCCAATCTTGGGAAATTCATGGCCTGAGGCTAGGTGGAGTACATGAATAAAGCGTTTGCAAAATAATAGAACGGTCACATAACAAAAGATAACTTGTAGGGTAATGTGAAAGGCATTTGGTGTTATCACTGGAGAGGTAATGACTTTGGACTCTCGGTTGGTCCCTCACTGATGCCGCAGTCAAACGGGGAAGACTTAAGAGGTACTTAATAGGAGAAGGGCTGTTTTCTTGAGGAGAGATTATTATTTTGCATAATTTTAGACGGCTTGGACCGATGGATGAAAGCATTGAGAAATTGACTTACCCACTTTAAATATAAGGAATAAAGTTCTGAATTACTATGTAAAGGATTGAGCTAATTCGATACGTATTAAGCTTGCGTTCTGTCCAGTGAGATTTTATCGAAAGATTTCCGGCATTACGTTAGCAGGTTGGACTAAATTATTTCTAAGTACAATTCTGTGGCTCATGGTAGGACTTTCAGTGAACCACGGACACTACCCTTTTCCATAACATAAGACTCATATTTACAAAAAGGATCTTGTCCAAAACATCTCCTTTTACTTGTACTTTGGGAAGGCTTGCACCAATGGTAGAAATTTCTTGTTTAATAATATCCAATTTATACTTTCCTTTCTTTTTCTTTTTTTCCCCCCCAGAAACGGAGACTTTTTCTGTCGCTCAGGAAGGGGCGCAGTGGCATGACTGTATCTCACTGCAGCCTCAAACTCCTGGGCTCAAGCAATCCTTCCTCTTCAGCCTCTTGAGTAACTGGGACTACAGGTGTGCATCATCATGCCTGGCTTCCAGTGTATTCTTAATCCTCATTGTAATGGGTATCCCACAGAACTCCTTACAGAAATTAAAATGGAAAATCTCATATCATGAGCATGTTTGAAATGGCATTACTTCTGGGAAGTTTTTATAATAGGAATTGTGTGTCTTTGCTCTCTTAATTTTACCTATTTTGGCTAAATGTCATTGCAATAAGCTTTTCAGAAGAAAGAAACCTAGAAAACTGGAAGATTGGTTTGTAGATAAAACAGATTGGATGGCTTCTTATTTCATGGTTGTGCTAAAATAGTTTTGTATGTGTGTGCTTTAGATTTCAGAAGAAAGCGGTAGCTTCCTTTCCCAGAACAGTTCTGAGCCGAGGAATGGATAACCGGTACCTGGTGTTGGCAGTCAGTACTGTACAGAACAAAGAGGGAAACTGTGAAAAGCACCTGGTCATCACTGCTTCACAGTCACTAGAAAATAAAGAACTATGCATCCTTAGGAATGACTGGTAATTTTTATGTGACTTTGAGCACTGATTCGAGTCTTAAGGGTACCATCGTAAAACTCATCAAATGGCTTCTGTGAATGTTACTATAATTTAATTGTTTAAAAGAGAGTAGATTTGATCCTAGCCTAATTCTGCATGAAAATTGTATCTATTACTCTTGTATCTCAAGTATCATATTCCAAAAATTGACTTTTGTTGTCATTTGAAGATCATGTGGGCCAGACATGGTGGCTCACACTTGTAATCCCAGCACTTTGGGAGGCCAAGGTGGGCGGATCACCTCAGGTCAGGAGTTTGAGACCAGCCTGACCAACATGGAGAAACCCCATCTCTACTAAAAATAAAAAAAATTAGCGGGGCGTGGTGGTGCATGCCTGTAATCGCAGCTACTCTGGAGGCTGAGGCAGTAGAATCGCTTGAACCTGGGAGATGGAGGTTGTGGTGAGCCGAGATCGTGCCATTGCACTCCAGCCTGGGTAACAAGAGCAAAACTTGGTCTCAAAAAAGAAAAAGAAAAGAAAATCACGTACAAAGAGCCTTATTAATGACTACTTCCTATTTCCCAGTACATTCTAAGATTGCAGCTTAAACGCATGTTAGTGTTAACTAAGAGCAAAATTAATTAACACATATGAACATTCTTAGGCCTTAGATTTCTCTACTCAGAATGTGGTATGTGAGGGGTGGAGTGTAGATGCAGAAAAGCTAGAGGTCTAACTTTGGCTCTTTGTTTAAGCTGTGAATTAGTTTGTTTTTGTTGTTGTTGTTGTTGTTTTTGGAGATGGAGTCTTGCTCTGTTGCCCAGGCTGGAGTGCAGTGGCACGATCTCGGTTCACTGCACCCTCCACCTCCCAGGTTCAAGTGATTTTCCTGCCTTAGCCTCACAAGTAGCTGAGATTACAGGCGTCCGCCACCACGCCCAGCTGATTTTTGTATTTTTAGTAGAGACAGGGTTTCACTATGTTGGCCAGGCTAGTCTTGAACTCCTGACCTCAGGTTATCCACCCGCCTCGGCATCCGAAAGTGCTGGGATTACAGGCATGAGCCACCGCGCCTGGCCTAGTTTGAACTAGTTCAGTATGATTTTATTCTTGCTACACTGGGTTTGGCTTCATGCTTCAAGACTTATAGAAGCTGTAGATTTCCTATAAGTCTTAAGAAAGAATTATTAAAACAACCCAATTCATAATTGGAGCTATATATATTACATTAGCAAAGGTTTTTTGATAGCTTTTGCAATAGACTTTACTGGCACTAAGTTGTTTTTCTCTTTGGGATTTATAGAAGACTCTTGAGTATTCTCAGATGTGTTTGGCACGTAGAAAGGGATAGAGTGACTAGGAGTTGTTTTAGAAGACTTTATCCTGGTATTTTATTTTATTTTTTTGAAGACCCAGAAATTTAGAAATATTTTTTTCTTCTTCAGATAAAATACTCATTTATTTTTTTGAAGCCTCCCTAATGTGTTTAAATGTAGGAACCTAAGCAATGTATTTATACTTTAACTTTGCTTTATTTTCAGGTGTTCTGTTCCAGTAGAGCCAGGAGATATCATTCATTTGGAGGGAGACTGCACATCTGATACTTGGATAATAGATAAAGATTTTGGGTATTTGATTCTGTATCCAGACATTCTGATTTCTGGCACAAGCATAGCCAGTAGTATTCGATGTATGAGAAGAGCTGTCCTGAGTGAAACTTTTAGGGTAAATAATAGTAACAGTTAATGTTTCTGCGGGGTCTGAGAGTGTTACAGAGCACTTTTACATTTATTATTTCAGTTAATCCTCCCAGCAACCCTATAAAATAAATGGTATTAATCAGCTGCATTTTATAGATGAGGAAAAATGGGCTCAGAGAGGTTAAGTGACTTGCCCCGCAGCCACATAACTACGAGGTGGCAGTGCTAGGACTAAAGGCCAGGTTCCTGAGTCCTTCAAATCTTGTTCAGGGCTTAATAAGTAATTATAGTAAGAAAATTAATTTAAATGATAAACTTTTAAATTTAAACACAGCTAGACATTTCCAAACTTGGCTTCATGTGATTCCCACTAAACTAAAAATAAATGTGTAAATCACTGTTTAAAAATGTATTTTGGTAGAAAAATTAACCAGGTGTGGTGGCATGCGCCTGTAGTCCCAGCTACTCAGGAGACTGAGGCAGGAGAATCGTTTGAACCCGGGAGGCGGAGGTTGCAGTGAGCCGAGATCAGGCTACTGCATTCTAGCCTGGGCGACAGAGCGAGACTCTGTCTCAAAACGAATAACAAACAAATTGTATTTTGGGCTATTTCAAACATACTAAGAGATGATTGTAATAAACTCCCACGTACTCAACACCCAGCTTTTAATTTATTTTTCTTGAAACATGCAGTTTTATTTTAAAATAAAATAAGTCTCAAAAAAAAGTGTATTTGGGGGCTGGGCGCAGTGGCTCACGCCTGTAATCCCATCACTTTGACAGGCCGAGGTGGGAGGATCACGAGGTCAGGAGTTCAAGACCAGCCTGACCAACATGGTGAAAACCCGTCTCTACTAAAAATACAAAAATTAGCCAGGCATTGGGGTGCGTGCCTGTAATTCCAGCTACTCGGGAGACTAAGGCAGGAGAATCGCCTGAACTCTGGAGGCGGAGGTGCAGTGAGCGGAGATCCTACCACTGCACTTCATTCAGCCTAGGGGACAGAGTGAGACTCCATCTCAAAACAAACAAAAATGTATTTTGGGCTATTTCAAACATACAAAGAGATTATTGTAATAAACTCCCATGTACCCAACACCCAGCTTTTTATTTATTTTTCTTGAAACATGTACTTTTATTTTGAGTCTCACTGTGTCACCCAGGCTGGAGTGCAGTAGGTCACCAAAGCCTTGACCTCCCAGGCTCAAGCAATCCTCCCACCTCAACCTCCCGAGTAGCTGGAGCTATAGGCATGAGCTACTGTGCTTGGCCTGAATATTAAGTTTTAAAAAACTTTTTGGGCCAGGCGCAGTGGCTCACGCCTGTAATCCTAGCACTTTGGGAGACCGAGGTGGGCGGATCACGAGGTCAGGAGATCGAGACCATCCTGGCTAACACGGTGAAACCCCATCTTCGCTAAAAATACAAAAATTTAGCCGGGTGTGGTGGCAGGCGCCTGTAGTCCCAGCTACTCGGGAGGCTGAAGCGGGAGAATGGCGTGAACCTGGGAGGTGGAGCTTGCAGTGAGCCGAGAGAGAGAGCGGGCCACTGCACTCCAACCTGGGCGACAGAGGGAGACTCCGTCTCAAAAAAGAAAAAAAAAAAAGGGTCTAGCCTAATACAAGAGTTAATCAAGAAATGAAGTATGAAGTAGTTTTTCTTTTTGAGTAGAGAAAAATTCTTTGCCAAAAATCTCTGCTGTAGGTTAAAAAATATTTTTTTCTTCCCAAACATTACTGTTAAGTAGGTTTAACTTTTATATTTGAATAGTATCTTTTACTTACATGAGTTTATCAGCTATGCCTTTATTGACTTTTCTATTGGGTGGATTATCAAGTGAAATTAGAGTATAATACTTTAAATATTATTTGAGAATATTTTGAATTTTTAAATATTGGTTAATTTTTTTTCAAAATGGAGAACATTGATTTTAAAAGTAACTCATACTCAGCCTGGCCAACATGGTGAAACCCTGCCTCTACTAAAAATACGAAAAATAAAAGTTAGCTGGGCATGGTGGCACACACCTGTAATTCCAGTTACTTGGGAGGTTGAGGCATGAGAATCATTTGAACCTGGGAGGTGAAGGTTGCAGTGAGCTGGGATTGTGCCACTGTGCTCCAGCCTGAGTGTCAGAGCAAGAGTCTGTCTCAAAAAAAAAAAAAAGTAACTCATGCAATAATAATTCAGACAATTCTGAATAGAAGAAAGTGAAAGTCACTTATAATTCCACCCACCAGAAAAAAAATTGTTTAATATTTTGGCATTTGTCTTACCAGTGCATTTTGGCTATGGTGGTTTAATAGATTAGATAATAAATATATACAATTGTGTCTGTTAATATGTTGTGAAATAAATTGTGTGATTTGTTTTTGTAGAGCTCTGATCCAGCCACTCGCCAAATGCTAATTGGTACGGTTCTCCATGAGGTGTTTCAAAAAGCAATAAATAATAGCTTTGCCCCAGAAAAGCTGCAAGAACTTGCTTTTCAAACAATTCAAGAAATAAGACATTTGAAGGAAATGTAAGTAGTTATAAGAGGAACTGCAGGTATAATTTTATTATATAACTTCTGTCCTAGAAACTATAAAGTATTTGTATAGACTATCCAATATAAATTAGTGTAATCTAAAATGCAGATTTCACAGTTCCAGTACACTGTTGGAACTCTGTGTAGAGTTTTTGAAATTGCCCAACAGGATCTTTTTGGGTAAAAATATCTAAATATTTTGTACATGTGCGTAACAGATTCCTTAACTACTTTCAGAGAATGTATAAAGAACTTTTTTTGCATTAGTTCTAGAAACAGTGTGATATACTGAGAATTATATGGGGTTGGGAATAAGATGAAACTAGTTTCAAAATACAGCTTTATGACCAGGTGCAGTGGCTCATGCCTATAATCCCAGCACTTTGGGAGGCTGAGGCAGGCGGATCACCAAGTCTGGAGATTGAGACCATTCTGGCTAACACGGTTAGACCCTGTCTCTACTAAAAATACAAAAAATTAGCTGAGTGTGGTGGTGGATGCCTGTAGTCCCATCTTCTCGGGAGGCTGAGGCAGGAGAATGGTGTGAACCCGGGAGGCGGAGCTTGTAGTGAGCTGAAATCACACCACTGCACTCCAGCCTGGGTGACAGAGTGAGACTCTGTCTCAAAAATAAATAAATAAATAAAAATAAAAAATGTAGCTTTACAGTATTTTTTTTGGGGGGGAGATAGGGGTCTTGCTATGTTGTCCAGGCCTTACTCAAACGACTGGGCTCATGTGTTTCTCCCCACCTCAGCCTCCTGTGTATCTGAAACAGGTACATGTCACCATGCCTGGCCTGCCTTACCAGTTTTTGTTTTGTTTTTGAGACGGAGTCTTGCTCTGTCGCCCAGGGTGGCGTGCAGTGGCTTGCTGTCGGCTCACTGCAGCCTCCACCTCCCAGATTCAAGCAATTCTCCTGCCTCAACCTCCCGAGTAGCTGGGATTACAGGCATAAGCCACCACACCTGGCTAATTTTTTTGTATTTTTAGTGAAGACGGGGTTCCGCCATGTTGGCCAGGGTGGTCTTGAACTCATGACCTCCAGTGATCAACCCACCTCGGTGTCCCAAAGTGCTGGGATTACAGACATGAGCCACCATGCCCGGCCTAAAATTTTGATACATATTACCAAATTGCTCTCTATAGACATTGTCCCAGTTTACATTTGTACTGGCAATATATGAGACTTTGTGAGACCGTATGGTCATCTACATCATTTTTAATCAACTGGAAACTGCCTGATTTCAAACAGCCTTTTGCAAGGATAACCTTCACTTTCAGTAGTCTAACTGTGTGTTTCTCTAGATCTTTTTGGATGCTTTGGTATTAGCAGTTGCTTCCTGGCTTGAAGAATTTCAGCTTCTCTTTCAACCTGCGGCTGCTATTTTGCTTAAGACAATTTTGGCAGAGGTAGCATTGTTAATTTTGTTTTCTCTGTTGGACTGGCTCTCTCAGAGGGCTGACACAACTCTGCTCTGTCAGTCTTGGTAAGCTGGAGGTGGCAGAAACCTAGGAAAGTAACAGCTTATTAAATCTGGTATTAGAAATATTGCACAGTTATATGGTAAATGTGTAGTGTCCTAAAGTCTCAATGTCTCATGAATGTGTTATTATGCTGCTCCCTTGAGCAAGTGAGAAAAATTATAAGTTGTATCTTTTTTTTTTTTTTTGAGACAGAGTCTCGCTGTGTTGCCCAGGTTGGAGTGCAGTGGCTCACTAGGCTCACTGCAAGCTCCGCCTTCTGGGTTCACGCCATTCTCCTGCCTCAGCCTCCTGAGTAGCTGGGACTACAGGCGCCTGTCACCATGCCCGGAACAGTGCTGACCTATAGTTAGCACTGTATTTGTTGTTATCATCATGGTCTTTATACCTTAATGATTTTCTTTTTTCTTTTTGAATCTCGCTCTGCTGCCTAGGCTGGAGTACAGCACCGCGATATCCTCTCATTACAACCTCTGCCTCCCAGGTTCAAGCGAGTCTCCTGCCTCATCCTCCTGATTAGCTGGGATTACAGGCATGCGCCACCGCGCCCGACTACTTTTTTTGCATTTTTTAGTAGGATGGGGTTTCACCATGTTTGCCAGGCTGGTCTCGAACTCCTGACCTCAGGTGATCCACCCTCCTCAGCCTCCCAAAGTGCTGGGATTAAGGGTGTGAGCCACCACGCCCAGCCTATACTTTAATGAGTTCTTATCATCAGCTAAGTGCTTTACATACATTGTTCTATAATCCTCAGACTCACTATGTAAGGTAGTTATTATCTCCTCCTTACAGATGAGGAAACAGGCTTAATTAACAGTGACTTGCTCTTAGTCATATATCTGGTAGTGCAGAGTTAGGATTCAAACCTAGGTGTGATTTTTATATACAAACTGATAAGCCCCTACCACCCTAGAGTAGTTACTAAGATTGGGGAGCTTAAATATAAAGAAGGAACTGGAATAATCATCCTGGGAGGGTAAGTTTATAACAGCAGTTCTCAAAACTTTTGCTCTCAGGACCCCTTTACACTAAAAAATTATTGAGGACTGGAAAGAGCTTCTGTTTATGTGGGCTATATCTATGATTAATTACTGTACTAGAAATTAGAACAGATGTTTATTAATTCATTTGAAATTAACATGTATATTCATTTATTTTGTTGTTGTTATTGAGACAGTCTTGCTCTGTTGCCCAGGCTGGATTGCAATGGCATGACCTCGGCTCACTGCAACCTCCGCCTCCTGGATCAATCGATTTTCCTGCCTCAGCCTTCCGAGTGGCTGGGATTACAGGTGCCTGCCACCACGCCTGGCTAATTTTTGTGTTTTTAAGTAGAGAGGGGGTTTCACCATGTTGGCCAGGCTGGTCTTGAACTGACCTCAAGTGATCCACTCCTCTCGGCTTCCCAAAGTGTTGGGATTACAGGCATAAGCCACCGCACCTAGCCTAAAATATATATTCATTTAAAAATATCAATCTATGCTTGTTAACATAACATTTTAATGAAAAAAACTGTTGTAAAAAATATATAATGCATGTCATTGTTTTACGTTTTTTCAGTTTCTTCTTTCTTCTTTCTTCCTTATTTATTTTTTTTTTGAGGTAAGTTCTCTCTCTGTTGTGCAGGCTGGAGTGTTGTGATGAAATTATCACCCACTATAGCCTCAAACAATCCTCCAGCCTCTATTTTTTTTCTTTCTTTCTTTCTTTTTTTTTTGAGATGGAGTTTTGCTCTTGTTGCCCAGGCTGGAGTGCAGTGGCATGATCTCAGCTCACCGAAAACTTCCGCCTCCCAGGTTCAAGCAATTCTCTTGTCTCAGCCTCCCGAGTAGCTGGGATTACAGGCATGTACCACCATGCCTGGCTAATTTTGTATTTTTGGTAGAGACGGGGTTTCTCCATGTTGGTCAGGCTGGTCTTGAACTCCCCACCTCAGGTGATCCACCCGCCTCGGCCTCCCAAAGTCTTGAGATTACAGGTGTGAGCCACAGAGCCTGGCCGTTTTTTTTTGTTTTTTTTTCTTAAAGCTACAGCACCCAATATTCCCAGGTGGTCTCCCATCCAAGTAGTAACCAAGCTCAACCCTGCTTAGCTTCTGAGATAAGATGAGATCAGCTGCGTTCTGGGTGGTATGGGTGTAAACCAAGCCTCTATTTTTGCAAATGTTTTAAAGTATGACTTCATAGAAGATCGTGGATTCTTGTGTCTGCTTCTGCATTCAAAATATTTCTATATTTTATGTCATGTAGCCTCAGAAAATTCAACTGTACTGTCATGAAAGGAAAATGATAAATAATGTATTCATATTGTTATGACATAATTTTGACCTTGTAAGAACCCTGAAAAATTGATAGTTGGGTTTTTTTGTTTCTGCAGATTTCTCACGTAAGAAGTTAACCTTCCTATATACTGTCCTTTGATGTTGTAAGACTGTTACTACCTTTCTGTCCATATGACCCTTTTTCCTCTTTAACGTTTCTACTTTCCATTGCTTGGTTTCAGGAGCAATATCTCAATATTTTTTTTTTTTTTTTGAGACGGAGTCTCGCTCTGTCGCCGGGGCTGGAGCGCAGTGGCCGGATCTCAGCTCACTGCAAGCTCCGCCTCCCGGGTTTACGCCATTCTCCTGCCTCAGCATCCTGTGTAGCTGGGACTACAGGCGCCCGCCACCTCGCCCGGCTAGTTTTTTGTATTTTTTTAGTAGAGACGGGGTTTCACCGTGTTCGCCAGGATGGTCTCGATCTCCTGACCTCGTGATCCGCCCGTCTCGGCCTCCCAAAGTGCTGGGATTACAGGCTTGAGCCACCGCGCCCGGCCTCAATTTTTTTTTTATATCCCAAAGGTATAACTGGGACTCTTCCAATTAGACCATGGTATGAATTAGAGCAAATTATCTGAAATTTGATGTCATGTCACTGTTTCAGTGTTATTTGGATTTTTTTTTTTTTTTCAGACAGGGTCTCACTGTCACCCAGGCTGGAGTACAGTGGTGAGATCACAGCTCACTGTAACCTCAAACTCTTGGGCTGAAACGATCCTTCCGCTTCAGCCTACTGAAGAGCTGGGACTATAGTTCCACACCACCATGCTTGTTGTTATTTGGATGTTTTTTAAAAATTGTAGTTAAATACATATAAAAATCACTGTGTTAGGCTGGGCGTGATGGCTCACCCCTGTGATCCCAGCACTTTCAGAGGCCGAGGCAGGCAGATCACGTGAGGTCAGGGGTTCAAGACCAGGCTGGCCAACATGGTGAAACCCCATCTTTACTAAAAATACAAAAATTAGCTGGGCATGGTGTCGTATGCCTGTGGTCCCATACAGGCATATGACATACAGGCATAGTCACTGAGGGGACTGAGGCAGGAGAATCACTTGAACCTGGGAGGTGAAGGTTGCAGTGAGCCGAGATTGCGCTAGCTTGGGCAACAAGAGTGAAACTCCATCTAAAAAAAAAAAAAAAAAAAAAAGATTACCTTATTAGGTCACGCGTGGTGGCTCATGCCTGTCATCCCAGCACTTTGGGAGGCCAAAGTGGGCAGATTGCTTGAGCCCAGGAGTTTGAGACCAGCCTAGCCAACATGGTGAAACCCTATCTCTACTGAAAATACAAAAAAATTAGCTGAGCATGGTGTTGTGTGCCTGTAATTCCAGCTACTCTGAAGGCTGAGGGGGGAGAATCACTTGAGCTTAGAAGGCAGAGGTTGCAGTGAGATGAGATCGCGCTACTCTACTCCAGCCTGGGTGACAGTGTGAGACCCTATCTCAAAAAATAAAGAAAAGAGATAAAGAAAAAGAAGAAAAAAAAATTACAATTTTAAGTTTTTGTGGGGATGTGTGTGTGTGATGGAGTCTTGCTCTCTTGCCCAGGCTGGAGTGCAATGGCGTGATCTCGGCTCACTGCAACCTCTGCCTCCTGGGTTCAAGCAATTCTCCTGCCTCAGCCTCCCAAGTAGCTGGGATTACAGACATGCACCACCACGTCTGGCTAATTTTTGTATTTTTAGTAGAGACAGGGTTTCACCATGTTGGCCAGGCTAGTCTCCAACTGCTGACCTCGGCCTCCCAAAGTACTGGAATTACAGATGTGAGCCACCGTGCTCTGCCTGTGTTAACCATTTTTAAGGGTATAGTTCAGAGGCAAAGTACATTCACCTTGTTGTGCAACCATCACCTATCTATCTCCAGAACTCTTTGCATCTTCCCAAACTGAAGCTCTGTGCCCTTGAAACAATAACTTCTCCTTTCCTCCTCCCAGCCTCTGGCAACCCCCATTCTACTTTCTGTCTCTGTGATTTTCACTGCTGTATGTGCCTTATATGAATATTAGTCCTTTTGTGACTGGCCTATTTCACTTAGCATAATGTCCTGAAGGTTATTCAATGTTGTAGCATATGTCAGAATTTCCTTCCTTTTTATAGCTGAATAATACTGCATTGTATGGAATATGCCACATTTTGCTTATCCATTTATTGGCTGATGAACAGTTGGGTTGCTTATTTGTGTTTTTGTCCTCATTTACTTTTCTAATATTTATACTTTCATATTTACTATCATATTTTTGGCAGGTACCGCTTAAATCTAAGTCAAGATGAAATAAAACAAGAAGTAGAGGACTATCTTCCTTCGTTTTGTAAATGGGCAGGAGATTTCATGCATAAAAACGCTTCGACTGACTTCCCTCAGATGCAGCTCTCTCTGTAAGAAACACATTTTGTTTATATAGTCTTCTTATTTTTAGACCAGGATGCTATTCTGTGTGTTGAATCAAAGTTTTTAAAAGATTGAGCAATTACAATTAGCTGTTTTGCTTGCTTACTTTATAAATTACTGTCCTAAGTATCTTTACATGACAAAAAAGAAACCAGTGAATAGAAAATTTTATTTTCATTATTATAAGATAGCTTATTTTTTATACGTAGATATGTATTTTCTTTTTCTTTCTTTTTTTTTTTTTGAGATGGAGTTTTGCTCTGTCACCCAGGCTGGAGTACAGTGGCACTGATCTTGGCTCCCTGCAACCTCCGCCTCCCTGCAACCTCCGCCTCCCACGTTCAAGAGATTCTCCTGCCTCAGCCTCCCAAGTAGCTGGGATTACAGGCGCCTGCCACCACGCCTGGCTAATTGTGTATTTTTAGTAGAGACGGTGTTTCACCGTGTTGGCCAGGCTGGCCTCGAACTCCTAACCTCAGGTGATCCACCTGCCTCGGCCTCCCAAAATGCTGGGATTATAGGCGTGAGCCACTGCGCCCAGCCTTTCTTCTTTTTTTTCTTTTTTGAGACAGAGTCTTGCTTTGTTGCCCGGGCTGGAGTGCAATGGCATGCTTTAGGCTTATTGCAACCTCCGCCTCCCGGGTTCAAGTGATTCTCCTGCCTCAGCCTCCCAAGTACCTGGGATTACAGGTGCCCACCACCACACCTGGCTAATTTTTTGTATTTTTAGTAGAGACGGGGTTTTGCCATATTGACCAGGCTGGTCTTGAATGCCTGACCTCAGGTGATCCACACACGTTGGCCTCCCAAAGTACTGGGATTACAGGTGTGAGCCACTATGCCCAGCCTGTATTTTCTTATAAAGTAATCAATTTTTGGCATCCTAATTTTTTTCATTTGATTCTTTTTTTTTTTTTAAAACGAAGTCTCATTCTCTTCCCCAGGCTGGAGTGCAGTGGTGTGGTCTTGGCTTACTGCAACTTCCACCTCCTGGGTTCAAGCTATTCTCCTGCCTCAACCTCCTGAGTAGCTGGGATTACAGGTGTGTGCCACCACACCTGGCTAATTTTTGCATTTTTATTAGAGATGGGTTTCATCATGTTGACCAGGCTGGTCTCGAGCTCCTGACCTCAACTGATCCTCCCACCTCGACCTCCCAACGTGCTGGGATTACAGGCATGAGGTACTACGCCTGGCCTCATTTGATTTTTTCATGTGTATTTCTCTGTGTTACTAGCATATAGTCTGTGTCATGTGTTGACTGTCATATGGATGTGCTATGTATTTAGTGTGTTTACCCATTTAATGCTGTTTGGCGTTACGTGTATTTTCAAGTTTTTTTTTTTCCCTCAAAGTGGCATTATTATAATTTTATAGGGGAGATATGTTTTTTTCTGTTATTCATTCAGCAAATATTTATTGGGTGTCTAATATGTGCCAAGTAATGTTTTAGGTGCTTGGATCATGGTAGCAAAAAAGGAAACAAAACATACAACCACCTACTTTCTGGAGTTTCTATACTACTGCACAAATAAACAGCAGGGGACCAGACCGTGATTAATGTAGTGCCAAACAATGAGGAGGGTAAGAAGAAAGGGAGAATAGGTAGGTAGTGATGGCAGGGGTATTCCATAGAATGTTCATGGAAGGCCTTTCTCATAAGGTAGCATTTGAGCAGAAGCTTAAAGGAAATGAAGTAGTGAGACATACAGCTGTCTGTCAGAGGAATGTTCCAGGTAGAGGAAACAGGGCAAAAGCCCTGTGGCTGACACATACTAGCTGTGTGTGCAGTATTTCAGCGAGTCAGTGTGATGGCTAGAGCAAAGTGCAGTAGGAGAAGAGCAGCAGTAGTTGCCCTGGAGCCTCATCATCCTGGTCAGGACTTGGATGCTGCTCTGATTAGAATGGAAGCCATTGGAGGGTTTTTATCTGATTTCCTTTTTTTTTTTTTTTTTTAAACAGGCAGCATTTTATTTTTCTTTAAATGGGCACAACTTCCATGTATACTAATATTCTCAGTGTTCTCTCAATATTTTCAATATTTTGTAACATTTTGTGATCTAAAAAGTTTGCTTTAAGGGTATCCAGGCATGGTGGCTCATGCCTGTAATCCCTGCACTTTTGGAGGTCAAGGCGCTGTGTCAGCTGAGCTCAGGAGTTTGAGACCAGCCTGGCCAACATGGTGGAACACCATCTCTACTAAAAATATGAAAATTAGACAGGCGTGGTGGTGGGTGCCTGTAATCCCAGCTACTCGGGAGGCTGAGGCAGGAGGATCGCTTGAACCAGGAAACAGAGGTTGCAGTGAGCTGAGATCATGCCACTGCACTCTAGCCTGGGCAACAAAGCGAGACTCTGTCTCAGAAACAAAAGAAAAGCTTTAAGATTTGTGAGTCAGAAAGATTTGGAGTAGTTAGTTCTTTGGACCTATTCCTTGTGGTTCGAAGGATATAATGAGCCTGGATGTGAATCCCAGTTTGGCCATAATTTGGCCGTATAACTACAGCAAGCTCCGTAAGTTGTGTGTGCTAGTTTCTGCTTTGATCTCATTTACTTTTTTTTTTTTCTCTCTTCTTTTTTTTTTTTTGAGACAAGGTCTCACTCTGTTGCCTAGACTGGAGTGCAGTGGTGCGATTTAGGCTCACTGCAACCTCTGCTTCCTCCTGAGTTCAAACAGTCCTTCCACCTCAGTCTTCTGAGTAGCCAAGACTGCAGGTGCACACTACACTGCCTGGTAATTTTCGTATTTTTTGTAGAGATGGTGTTTCACCATGTCACCCAGGATGGCTAGTCTTGAACTCCTGGACTCAAATGATCCTCCTGCCTTGGCCTCCCAAAGTGCTAGGGTTACAGGCATGAGCCACCTTGCCTGGCCCTCTAATGGGATTTTCATATGTATTTTTAAAATATTTAGTAGTTTAGAAAAAGGCTTGTCTTGATGTTAGAGTTGAGTTTGTTTGTTTTGTTTTGTTTTGTTTTGTTTTTGAGATGGAGTCTCACTCTATCACTCAGGCTGCAGTACAGTGGCACAATCTTGGCTCACTGCAACCTCTGCTTCTCGGGTTCAAATGATTCTTGTGACACAGCCTCCTGAGTAGCTGGGACTATAGACATGAGCCACCACGCCTGGCTGATTTTTGTATTTTTAGTAGAGACGAGGTTTCACCATGTTGGCCAGGCTGGTCTCGAACTTCTGACCTCAAGTGATCCGCCTGCCTCGGCCTCCCAAAATGTTGGGATTACAGGCATGAGCCACTGTGCCTGACTGAGTTTGTTTTTCATATTTTTTATTTCTGTAGTGGTCGTAAATTTTTCACCAGCTTCCTACACTTAGAAAAAAGCTAGAGTGAGTAGATTGTTTAGCTTTTCTTGTGTTTTAAAAATAAATTTACAGCCGGGTGCGGTGGCTCACGCCTGTAATCCCAGCACTTTGGGAGGCTGAGGCAGGCGGATCACAAGGTCAGGAGTTCGAGACCAGCCTGGCCAACATGGTGAAACCCCGTCTCTACTAAAAATACAAAAATTGGGTGTGGTGGCATGTGCCTGTAATCCCAGCTACTCAGGAGGCTGAGGCAGGAGAACTGCTTGAACCGGGACCCGGGAGGTGGAGGTTGCAGTAAGCCGAGGAGATCACGCCATTGCACTCTAGCCCGGGCAACAAGCATGAAACTCTGTCTCAAAAAAAAAAAAAATATATATATATATATATAAATATAATATATATGTATGTATATACGCATGTTTCATTCTTTTCATTCTTTGTTATTTCTTTGGAACAGATTGACATAGGGGATGGATATTGGGCTTCACTATGATAAACTATGTTTATCAAGTAGTCATCCTTCACCTAGTTCCTTGCTTTGCTTTATAATATTTCTGTCATTCTGGTCTCTATCAATGTTCTGTGACACTAAGAAAGTTGATTTTATTGGCCGGGCGCAGTGGCTCATGCCTGTAATCCCAGCACTTTGGGTGGCTGAGGCGGGCAGATCATGAGGTCAGGAGTTCGAGACCAGCCTGGTCAAGATGGCGAAACCCCATCTCTACTAAATATATAAAAATTAGCTGGGCATGGTGGCGGGCACCTGTAATCCCAGATATTCGTGAGGCCAAGGCAGGAGAATCGCTGGAACCCGGGAGGCAGAGGTTGCAGTGAACCCAGATCGCGCCACTGCACTCTAGCCTAGGTGACAGAGCAAGATCCCATTTCAAAAAAAAAAAAAATGGGGCCGGGCGCGGTGGCTCAAGCCTGTAATCCCAGCACTTTGGGAGGCCGAGGCGGGTGGATCACGAGGTCAGGAGATCGAGACTATCCTGGCTAACGTGGTGAAACCCCGTCTCTACTAAAAATACAAAAAACTAGCCGGGCGTGGTGGCGGGCGCCTGTAGTCTCAGCTACTTGGGAGGCTGAGGCGGGAGAATGGCGTGAACCCGGGAGGCAGAGCTTGCAGTGAGCCGAGATCACGCCACTGCACTCCAGCCTGGGAGACACAGCGAGACTCCGTCCCCAAAAAAAAAAAAACAAAAAAAACCAACAAAAAAAAAATGTTAATTTTATCTTCAACTGCTCCTAATTATTTATCCTCATTTACCCTCCTTCCTCCTCCCTCCCTTTTTTCCCCTTCCTTCCTCCTTTATTTCTTTTTGTCATTTACATTTGCTTGAAATTTTTTTTTTTTTGAGATGGAGCCTCACGTTGTCGCCTAGTCTGGAGAGCAGTGGCGCAGTCTTGGCTCACTGCATCCTCTGCCTCCCAGGTTCAAGCGATTCTCTTGCCTCAGCTTCCTGAGTAGCTGGGATTACAGACGCCTGCCACCATGCCCGGCTAATTTTGGCATTTTTAGTAGAGACGAGGTTTCACCATGCTGGCCAGGCTGGTCTCGAACTCCTGTCCTTAGGCAATCCACCCACCTCAGCCTCCCAAAGTGCTGGGATTACAGGTGTGAGCCACTGCACTCAGCTGCTTGACATTTTAAATTACGGTAGATGTCTATTTTTGTAGTTTTTTTGGACATAAGCTTTTCTTTTACTTTTTGTTAATTGTTTTAGCATCCTGTCTGCATGTTTGCTTGTTTGTTTGTTTGTTTGTTTTCCTTTGGTGGAGTCTTAACCCAAATGTGTTTTTTTCTTTTTGGTTAAAATTAACCCATTGTTTTTACAATGATAAGCATGATTCTCAGAATTCTGGGTTAATAAATTCTGCAAACATTTATTCAATGCTATATATGTGCCAAGGATTATACCAGGTACTGTTGTTGTAGGGATAACCAAAGCCCTCAGGAACTCAGTGTATTGGTGGTAGATGAAAATAATAAAAGTGAAGGGGTTTGCTGGTGGAGAAAATGTAGGTGACAAAAGCAGCATGGAACCCTTGGAGGTAACAGCATATAAGGGACAGAAGGACAGAATAGTATCTGTTGAAGGAGGCTTAGGATAGGTCAGCAAGGGATTTGCAGCCTGGAAGAAGGGCATCATAGATGCTAGGGAAAGAGGGTGGAATTCAGACTCATCTTTGACTTGCAAAGAATCTTTGAAATAAAATCCTACATTTTTTTGTCAAAATACAAAATTATATACATTTTATATACAATGCACTCATGCTGGCTTAATGATGGGGATATGTTTTGAGAAATGTGGTGTTAGGCAATGTCATCATTGTGTGAATGTCAGAGTGTACTTGTGCAAACCTAGATGGTGGAGCCTACTACACACCTAGGCCATATGGTATAGCCAGTTGCTTCTAGGCTACACACTTGTACAACATGTTACTGTACTGAATACTGTAGGCAGTTGTAATAACGGTTAGTATTTGTGTATCTAAACATATCTAAATATAGAAAAGATAGTGTGTTGCATTACCACCATAGCTAGATGTCACTAGGCAATGGAATTTTTTAGCTACATTATAATCTTATGGGACCACCATCCTATGTTGATGAAATCATTGTTATACAATGGATGACTGTATATATAATTTTTCAAGTCACACAGAACTTTTATTGAAATAGATGATGCATTATGCCATAAGGGAAACACCAATAAATTTTAAAGGATCAGTAGTATCTTAGAGACGATATTCTGCAACTGTACTGTAACAAAGTTAGAATAATTTTGATTCAAAGTTAGATAACAAAAGGATATCTAAAATTCTCATGGTTTGTAAACTAAGGAAATGTTGATAAATGTTTTAAAAGGTCAGTCATAAAGGAAATTAACACATTTAGAATAGGTGGTTACATACCAAATTTTGTAGACTATAGCTAAAGTAGTACTTAGAAATTAATTTTTGTTACCATTTAAAAAAATTGTGGTGGCTGGTTGTGGCGGCTTACGCCTGTAATCCCAGCACTTTGGGAGGCTGAGATGGATAGATCACTTGAGGTCAGGAATTAGAGACCACCCTGGCCAACATGGTGAAACCTTATCTCTACTAAAAAATACAAAAATTAGCAAGGCGTGGTGGTGCACGCCTGTAATCCCAGCTACTTGGGAGCCTGAGACAGGAGAGTTGCTTGAACCGGGGAGGTGGAGGTTGCAGTGAGCCGAAATTGCGCTACTATACTCCAGCCTCTGCGACAGAGTGAGACTCCATCTCAAAAAAAAAAAAAAAAAAAAAACTGTGGTAATAAACATATAGTGGCCGCGCATGGTTGCTCATAACTGTAATCCCAGCATTTTGGGAGGCCAAAGCAGGAGGATTGCTTGAGACCAGGAGTTCAAGATCAGCCTGGGAAACATGGTGAGAACATAGCTCTACAAAAAAAAAAAAAAAAAAAAAGGCCGGGCGCGGTGGCTCACGCCTGTAATCCCAGCACTTTGGGAGGCCGAGACGGGCGGATCACAAGGTCAGGAGATCGAGACCACGGTGAAACCCCGTCTCTACTAAAAATACAAAAAATTAGCCGGGTGCGGTTGTGGGCGCCTGTAGTCCCAGCTACTCGGGAGGCTGAGGCAGGAGAATGGCGTGAACCCGGGAGGCGGAGCTTGCAGTGAGCCGAGATCGCGCCACTGCACTCCAGCCTGGGCGACAGAGCGAGACTCCGTCTCAAAAAAAAAAAAAAAAAAAAATTGGCTGGGCCTAACAACTGATGCCTGTAGTTTCAACTACTTGAAAGGGTGAGGCGGGAGGATCTCTTGAGCCCAGGAGGTCAAAGCTGCAGTAAACTGTGTTCGTGCTGCTGCATTCCAGCCTGGGTGACAGAGTGAGACTCTGTCTCAAAATAATAATAATAGTAAAGCCACATTGCTTCTTTTTCCAGCGCATTGGATTTTAGTAACAACTTTAAAAGTTTTTTTTCCCTGTATTCTATTAGGTATAGATGTGACATTTCATAAATAATAAGTTTTGCCTTATTTATAAAAGCATATCTGAATATACACCATGAACAAATAACAGTGAGAGAAGATAAATATTTAAGAAATTTCAGACCAAGTGCGGTGGATCATGCTTGTAATTTCAGCACTTTGGGAGACCAAGACAAGAGGATTGGTTGAGTTCACCATGTTGCCCCGCCTTTTGTAGACTCTGTCTCTACAAATTTGAAAATAATTAACAGGGTGTGGTGGTGCACACCTCTCATCCCAGCTACTTGGGAGGCTGAAACAGAAGGATTGCTTGAGCCCAGGAGGTCAAGGCTACAGTGAGCCGTGTTCATGCCGCTGTTCATGCTTGGGCGACAGAGAGAGACCCTGTCTCACTAAGACAGAAAAAAAAAAAAGAAATTTTAGATAAATTATGACTTCTCTGAATTTCACTATTGTGTTCAACGATTCTGGAAGGATGCATATCTTCCATGAGATTATATTTGAAGCATCTTGAAATAGTTTTTTTTTATGAAAAATTGTATGGGGAGGGGGTAAGGGGGAGGGATAGAGGGATAGCATTAGGAGATATACCTAATGTATAATGGCTACAGCACACCAACTGGCACAAGTATATATATGTAACAAACCTGCATGTTGTACACATGTACCCTAGAACTTAAAGTATAATTAAAAAAAAGAAAGAAAAATTATTTAAGACAGCATTTTTTTTTCTTGGAAAATATTCTCATTTGTTAAAAAATTGCTGTCCATGGCCAAGTGTGGTGGCTCATGCTTGTAATCCAGCACTCTAGGAGGCCAAAGCAGGTGGATCATTTGAGGTCAGGAATTTGAGACCAGCCAGGACAACATGGCAAAAGCCTGTCTCTATTAAACAAAAAAAGGAAGAAACAGCTGTCCAAAAAAAGAAATGGGGTTGACCATAATAATATGAACTAAACAAAAATCAACTAAATTATCTATTCTAACAACTAGAATTATTCTATTTTTAAAAATCTTCATTTTGATATGATAGGAAATGTTTTATTACTAGAAAAGTCATCTTTTTCATGTAAGATTTCCACTAGATTTAGTATTTTATGTGGCTGGCTTTGAATCTAAAAGTGTAAAATATTTTCCCAGTAGATAGGATTAATAAGAGGTAACACATCTTTCTTTTCTTCTAATCTCTTCTGCAGAATAACTGTAACTGCTCTGAAAATGAGTAAATCTTAGATAAGAGAGGAGATTTGTAAGTTATTTCCACCTCTTCTCATTCCTTCAACATTTATATATTCCCTTTTTTTCTCCTTCCTGTGCTCATGGTTTATTTACCAATTAAGAGATTAAAGTCAGAACCTTTTTATAATAAAAAAAATTGAGTACTTCCTTTAAATATTGATAGTGGTAGACATGGTTTCGTTTAGTTATTAAGTAAAGAAAATGGGACACTTGGAAGTGACCATGAGCTCCTTTGAAGATTGTCATCTGGGGGTGTGTGGATGAAGTGTTGGGTGAATGAGCCCCAGACTTCATAGATGATGGAGATAGCCAATTTTTTTTTTTTTTTTTTGCTACTGAGTCTTGCTCTGTCACTCAGGCTGGAGTGCTGGAGTGCAGTGGCACGATTTTGGTTCACTGCAGCCTCTGCCTCCTGGGTTCAAGCGATTCTTCTGCCTTAGCCTCCCGAGTAGCTGGGATTACAGGCATGTGCCACTCTGCCTGGCTAATTCTTGTATTTTTTTTAATAGTGATAGGGTTTCACCATGTTGGCCAGGCTGATCTTGAACTCCTGAACTCAAGTGATCTGCCTGCCTCGGCATGAGCCACCAGGCCCAGCAGACAACTCATTCTTAATCAGTGTAATCTAGTGTTATGTGAAGGAATACATCTCTCATTTTTTAGGGTGCAACCTCATGCAAGCCATTATATACTAATTTGCATAATAATTGTATATCAGAATACTTAGATTGGAATTGTGGCTCTAGCAATTAAAGTAGCAAGACGGTTGTAATCTAGGCCTGAGAAAATAAGGGCCTGAGTTAAGAAGATTATAGTAGGAATGACTGAAAGGAACAGATGATAAATACTGAGAAAGACTAAATTCCATGAGCAGAACCTGTAGGAGAGTGGTTCTTAAACTTGAGCATGCATCAGAATTGTGGAGGGTTGGTTAAACAGACTGCTAGGCCTCACCCCTAGAGTTTGTGTTTGAGTAGGTTTGGAGTGGGTCTTTGAGGATTTACTTTTATAGCAAGTTCTCAGGTGATGCTGATGCTACTGGTCAAGGGATCACAGTTTGCAAATCACTGCTGTAAAAGTAGGTAGACTCTTTCCCTCCCCACATTCTCTGTGTGTAATAGACAGTCAGAGCCAGCAGATGTGAAATGAGCTAAGTGTTCTAATTAAGTGTTTTTGTGCTTTTTGTTTTTTTTCAGGCCAAGTGATAGTAGTAAGGATAATTCAACATGTAACATTGAAGTCGTGAAATCAATGGATATTGAAGAAAGCATTTGGTCCCCTAGATTTGGATTGAAAGGCAAAATAGATGTTACAGTTGGTGTGAAAATACATCGAGGGTGTAAAACAAAATACAAGATAATGCCGCTGGAACTTAAAACTGGCAAAGAATCAAATTCTATTGAACACCGTAGTCAGGTATAAATGTTAATAAGAACATTGTCTGTTTTATACTTTTAAAGATGCAGTCTGCTTTGTATATTTTGGTTCAATTCAGGTCATTTTTATTTCAGTTTCATGTACTTTTCCATTTACATACATTTAGGGTACTCAACTTGTTTTATAAATATATACATGCTACAGTAGAAATGTTTATCAGCCAAGTAATGTAACAGCTGAATTTGTAAGCCAATGTTGCCAGATTCAGGCTGCCAAACGAATCTAAGCAGATGCTCCTAAGAAAAATAATTATTGGCTTGGTGTGGTGTTGGGAGGATCAGCTGAGCCCAGGAGTTCAATACCAGCTTGGACAACATAGCAACACCCCGTCTCTACAAAAAAATCAAAAACAAAAAAATTAGCCAGGCATGGTGGTGCACACCTGTAGTCCTAGCTACTCGGGAGTCTGAGGCCAGAGGATAGCTTGATCCCAGAAGGTTGAGGCTGTAGTGAGCCGTGATTGCCCCAAAGCACTTCTGCCTGGGCAAAAGAACAAGACCCTGACTCAAAAGAAAAAAAAAGATACAAAATTAGCCGGACGTGGTGGCGCATGCCTGTAATCCCAGCTACTTGGGAGGCTGGGGCAGGAGAATCATTTGAACTCGGGAGGCGGAGGTTGCGGTGAGCTGAGATCGTGCCATTGCACTCTAGCCTGGGCAACAGGAGTGAAACTCTGTCTCAAAAAAAAAAAAGAAAGAAAAATTGATGTAAATTTATTCTTTTATTTCCAACCTTTATGTGATTTTATATTGATTTTTATCTGAGATGAAATACAGAGATCTATCTTACCATTATGTTAAATTCAAGTTTTAAAAATTATTTTAGGCCAGGCGTGGTGGCTCACCTCTGTAATCCCAGCACTTTGGGAGGCTGAGGCGGGCACATCACTTGAGGTCAGGAGTTTAAGACCAGCGTGGCCAACATGGTGAAACCCTCTCTCTACTGAAAATACAAAAACTAGCTGGGCATGGTGGTGTGTGCCTGTAATCCCCAAGGCTGAGGCAGGAGAATCACTTAAATCCAGGAGGCAGAGGTTGCAGTGAGCCGAGGTTGCACCACTTCACTCCAGCCTGGGTGACAGAGTGAGAGTCCATCTTTAAAAAAAAGTTATTTAGTCGGGTGCGGTGGCTCACGCCTGTAATCCCAGCACTTTGGGAGGCCAAGGCGGGTGGATCACTAGGTCAAGAGTTGGAGACCAGCCTGGCCTCCGTGGTGAAACCCCTTCTCTATTATAAAATACAAAAATTAGCCAGGCATGGTGACTCATGCTTGTAGTCCCAGCTACTCTGTAGGCTGAGGTAGGAGGATCACTTGAACCCAGGAGGCGGGGGTTGCAGTGAGCCGAGATCATACCTCTGCATTCCAGCGTAGGCGACAGAGTGAGAATCCGTCTCAAAAAAAAAAAAAATTATTTAAAAAATTACAGTGGCTCACGCCTGTAATCCCAGCACTTTGGGAGGCCGAGGCGGGAGGATCACAAGGTCAAGAGGTCGAGACCATCCTGGCCAACCAATATGGTGAAACCTCTTCTCTACTAAAAATACAAAAATTAGCTGGGGTAGTGGCACACGCCTGTAGTCCCAGCTCCTTGGGAGATGGAGGCAGGAGAATCGCTTGAACCCGGGAGGTGGAGGTTACAGTGAGCTGAGATCGTGCCACTGCACTCTAGCCCGGGCGACAGAGTGAGACTCTGTCTCATAAAAACAAAACAAAACAAAACAAAAATTGGCCGGGTGCGGTGGCTCACGCCTGTGATTCCCAGCACTTTGGGAGGCCGAGTGGATCATGAGGTCAAGAGATCGAGACCATCTTGGCTAACACAGTGAAACCCCGTCTCTACTAAAAATCCAAAAAAATTAGCCGAGTGTGGTGGCAGGCGCCTGTAGTCCCAGCTACTCGGGAGGCTGAGGCAGGAGAATGGCTTGAACCCGGGAGGCGGAGCTTGCAGTGAGCCGAGATTGTGCCACTGCACTCCTGCCTGGGTGACAGAGCAAGACTCCGTCTCAAAAAGAAAAAAAAGGCCGGGCGCGGTGGCTCAAGCCTGTAATCCCAGCACTTTGGGAGGCCGAGGCGGGCGGATCACAAGGTCAGGAGATCGAGACCACAGTGAAACCCCGTCTCTACTAAAAATACAAAAAATTAGCCGGGCGCGGTGGCGGGCGCCTGTAGTCCCAGCTACTCAGGAGGCTGAGGCAGGAGAATGGCGGGAACCCGGGAGGCGGAGCTTGCAGTGAGCCGAGATCGCGCCACTGCACTCCAGCCTGGGCAACAGCGTGAGACTCCGTCTCAAAAAAAAAAAAAAAAAAAAAAAAAAAAAAAAAAAGAAAAAAAAAATTATATTTCTCCTTGATAAACAATTTTCTGTTGTCCTTCAAAATTATTTTTAATTTACATTAATTATAGTGATTTAACAAATCAGTTAACACTAAGTTGTGTTATATTTTCTGATTATCGTTATCCCCTCTGCCGATCTCTGCTTTGTCTATCTGTAGTATGTCTTCATAGAAACTTTTTTATTTTTTATTTTTGAGATGGAGTCTTGCTTTGTCTCCCAGGCTGGAGTGCAGTGACGGATCTCGGCTCACTGCAACCTCCACCTCCTAGGTTCAGGTGATTCTCCTGCATCAGCCTCCCAAGTAGCTGGTACTACAGGCATAGGCCGCCATGCCCAGCTAATTTTTTTGTATTTTAGTAGAGATGGGGTTTCACCATATCGCTCAGGCTGGTATCAAACTCCTGAGCTCAGGCAATCCATCTGCCTCGGCCTCCCAAAGTGCTAGGATTACAGGCGTGAGCCACCAAGCCTGGCCTGTAGAAGCTTTTGTTTTTTTATTTTGTTTTATTTATTTATTTATTTTGAGATGGAGTTGCACTCTTGTTGTCCAGGCTGGAGTCCAATGGCACGATCTCAGCTCTCCTCCTGGGTTCCAGCGATTCTCTTGCTTCAGCCTCCCGAGTAGGTGGGATTACAGGCATGGGCCACCACACCTGGCTAATCATGTGTTTTTAGTAGAGATGGGGTTTCTCCATGCTGGTCAGGCTGGTCTTGAACTCCTGACCTCATGTGATCTGCCTGCCTTGGCCTCCCAAAGTGTTGGGATTACAGGCGTGAGCCACCGCGCCCGGCCCATAGAAGCTTTTAAATCAGAAAAGATAAAACTAAAAGATAGTAACATTATTATATTTTTATGATATAATATTTGCTAAGGGAATAAATAATAAAACAAGAGTTGATAATATAACTTAAATTTCCATTGCCCTTACAATTTTGCATATTATTTGAACATATATAAAATAAGGTTCAAAATACTGACTTGTATAATCAGATATTAAAGAGACTTTCTCTATTAAATCTTTCTTTTTTTTTTTTTTTTTGAGACGGAGTCTTGCTGTGTCACCCAGGCTGGAGTGCAATGGCCAGATCTCGGCTCACTGCAAGCTCCGCCTCCCGGGTTCACGCCATTCTCCTGCCTCAGCCTCCCGAGTAGCTGGGACTACAGGCACCCGCCACCTCGCCCGGCTAGTTTTTTTTTTGTATTTTTTATTAGAGACGGGGTTTCACCGTGTTAGCCAGGATGGTCTTGATCTCCTGACCTGGTGATCCGCCCATCTCGGCCTCCTAAAGTGCTGGGATTACAGGCTTGAGCCACCGCGCCCGGCCTTTTTTTTTTTTTTGAGACAGAGTCTCGCTCTGTCGCCCAGGCTGGAGTGCAGTGGCGCAATCTCGGCTCACTGCAATCTCCGCCTCCCGGGTTCACGCCATTCTCCTGCCTCAGCCTCCTGAGTAGCTGGGACTACAGGCGCCCGCCACCGCGCCCGGCTAATTTTTTGTATTTTTAGTAGAAACGGGGTTTCACCGTGGTCTCGATCTCCTGACCTTGTGATCCGCCCGCCTCGGCCTCCCAAAGTGCTGGGATTACAGGCGTGAGCCACCGTATTAAATCTTTCTTGCAGGCTGGGCGCGTTGGCTCATGACTGTAACCCAACACTTTGGGAGGCCGAGGCGGGCGGATCACCTGAGGTCAGGAGTTTGAGACCAGCCTGGCTAATGGAGAAACCTTGTCTGTACTAAAAATACAAAAATTAGCCAGGTGTGGCAGCGGGTACCTGTAATCCCAGCTATTTGGGAGGCTGAGGCAGGAGAATTGCTTGAACCACCTGGGATGCAGAGGTTGCAGTGAGCTGAGGTTGCGGCGCTGCACTCCAGCTGGGCAGCCTGGGTGACAGAGGGAGACTTTGTCTCAAAAAAAGAAAAAAAGAAGTCTGTCTTTCTCTTCTTTTTCTTTTTTTTTTTTTTTTCTGAGACAAGATTTGGTTCTGTCACCTAGGCTGGAGTGCAGTGGCTCGATCTTAGCTTTGCAACCTCCGCCACCCGGACTCAAGCCATCTTCCCACTTCAGCCTCCCAAGTAGCTAGGACTAGAGGTGCACACCACTATGCCTAATTTTTTTTTTGAGACTGAGTCTCACACTGTTGCCCAGGCTGGAGTGCAGTGGCGCGATCTCAGCTCATTGCAACCTCTGCCTCCCCGGTTCAAGCGATTCTCCTGCCTCAGCCTCCTGAGTAGCTGGGATTACAGTCCCCTGCTACCATGCCCAGCTAATTTTTTGTATTTTTAGTAGAGACAGGTTTCACTATGTTGGCCAGGCTGGTCTCGAACTCCTGACCTCGTGATCTGCCTTCCTCGACCTCCCAAAGTGCTGGGATTACAGGCATGTGCCACCGTGCCGGCCTTATGCCTGACTAATTTTTGTATTTTTTGTAGAAATTGAGTTTTGCGCTGTTGCCCAGCCTGGTCTCGAACTCGTGACCTCACATGATACTCACATGATACCTCACATGATACCTCACATGATACCTCACATGATACCTCACATGATACCTCCCAAAGTTCTGGAATTACAGGCATAAGCCACTGCACCCAGCCTTTTGCTATTAATTGTGTACCAAATACTGAAGGTTTTCACAAGAACTTTACATTTGGGAATGAAAAGTAGGGTAACTTTGTTTCACCTATTATTAGATTTTGTGTAGGTGTTGGAAGTGGAAGAAAAAATATTTCCCCTTTTTAAAGACTTTAAATTTTTACTTTGATAATACAGAAATAACTGAAATTACAAACTTAAATACTTGGCTAAATTACAACCCTCTTGAGAAAGGAAAATTATGCCAATAGAAGAAAGGCTGTTTTTGGCCGGGCGCGGTGGCTCACGCCTGTAATCCCAGCACTTTGGGAGGCCGAGGTGGGCGGATCACAAGGTCAGGAGATCGAGACCACGGTGAAACCCCGTCTCTACTAAAAATACAAAAAATTAGCCGGGCGCGGTGGCGGGCGCCTGTAGTCCCAGCTACTCAGGAGGCTGAGGCAGGAGAATGGCGTAAACCCAGGAGGCGGAGCTTGCAGTGAGCCGAGATCGCGCCACTGCACTCCAGCCTGGGCGACAGAGCGAGACTCCGTCTCAAAAAAAAAAAAAAAAAAAAAAAGAAAGGCTGTTTTTGAAGTCAAAGATCAGAAGGAATGTGTTTTGTGTATATGAGACTGAAATTTTTAAATTGATTTTTAAAATCACAAGTTTAAATGAAATCACTTTATAATGCTAAACAGGAGCTAAATATAAAAGCATTTTAGACTGGCACAGTGGCTCACGCCTGTAATCCCAGCACTTTGGAAGGCCGAGGTGGGCAGATCACTTGAGGTCAGGAGTTTGAGACCAACCTCACCAACATGGTGAAACCCCATCTCTACTTAAAAAAAAAAAAAAAAAAAAAAATTAGCTGGGTGTGGTGACATGTGCCTGTGGTCCCAGCTACTTGGGGGGCTGAGAATTGCTCAAACCAGGGAGGCAGAGGTGGTAGTGAGCTGAGATCGCGCCACTGCACTCCAGCCTGGGTGACAGAGCCAGACTCCATCTCAAAAAAAAAAAAAAAAAAAAAGCATTTCAATATCTTAAGTGATATCTAGATTCCAAGACTTTTTTCCATTGAGATTGTTGCTCTAATTCGCCATTGCTTCAAGGTAAAGAATATTACTGTATTTAATTTTGTTCAGTTGGAGATTTTATTTTTGCAAGAAGTGCAAGAAAATTTTAATAATAAAGTAGTAATTCTTGTATTAAAAAAATGAGGAAATTTGCTAGAACAAGGCTTAAAAAATTGGAATTATATTGCATATTTATTATGCAAGAGACAAGACATTGAAAAATTAATTATGATAGTTCATTATTATGTTGGGTATAAGGAAAAAACCAAGGTTCCCTGCTTAAAAGATTTGACTTTTTAATTTTGATAATAAGAAAAGGTTTAGGAAAGTTTTTTTTTTTAGATGGGGTCTTGCTATGTTGACTTGCAGCTAAAGCTGTTACATGAGCTAAAAGGACTATTTTTAACTTGTCTTAGATGGTTTCTCCCAAGAATTTCATGAAACCTAAGGTGGTTAATGACATTTCATACTCTGGAGAAACAAACTCTGTAGAGTTAGTATTACTTGTCATAGTAGCTATCATGTAAATGATAGTCATTTTTGTTTTGGTTCATTTATTTTAAATGGAGAAAATAGTGTCTACAGACTGTTAACTTCAAAATGTAAATCATAGTTTGATTAATTTCCTTCTTCAATTTATTGGATATCTAAATATTTGCTTTCTAAGAAAATTCTCTATAGGATTCTTGGTTGTCCAAGTAAAACTGAGAAGCAGAACTATGTTTGTTTTGTGTAAATTAAATTTTTATTTTTTTTAAGGCAATATCCTTCTGTTACTCAGGCTGGAATGCAGTGGCACGATCTCGGCTCACTGCAGCCTTTACTTCTCAGGGTCAATCAATCCTCCCACCTCAGCCTCCTGAGTAGCTGGGACTATGGACGCACATCACCATGCCCGGCTAACTTTTTTTTTTTTGAGATGTAGTCTCCTTCTGTCCCCCAGGCTGGAGTGCAGTGGTGTGATCTCGACTCACTACAATCTCCGCCTCCCGGGTTCAAGCAATTCTCCTGCCTTAGCCTCTCAAGTAACTAGATTACAAGCATGTGCCGTCATACCTGGCTAATTTTTGTATTTTTAGTAGAGACAGGGTTTCACTATGTTGGCCAGGCTGGTCTCGAACTCCTGACCTCAAGTAATCTGCCCGCCTCGGCCTTCCAAAGTGCTGAGAGTTTAGTTATGAACCACCACGCCCAGCCGTACCTGGCTAATTTTTAAATTTTTCTACATACATCTCTTTTTGTAGAAATGGGGGTTTCACTATGTTTTTGTTTTTATGCTTTTAAATTTTTGTTGGCACTTAGTAGGTGTATACATTCATGGATTACATGAGATATTTTAATACAGGCATGTAATACGTAATAATCATATAATGGTAAATGGGGTATCCATCCCCTCAAACATTTATTATTTGTGTTACAAATAACCCAGTTATACTCCTTTAGTGATTTAAAAATGCACAGTTAAATTATTTTTGACTACAGTCACTCTGTTGTGCTAGCAAATACTAAGTCTTATTCATTACTCTTTTTTTTTTTTTTTTTTTGGTACCCATTAACCACCCCCACTTCTCCCCCTGACCACCCTCACTATCATTCCCAGCCTCTGGTAACCAACCTTCTACTATCTGTCTCCATGAATTCAATTGTTTTAATGTTTTGCTCCCACAAGTAAATGAGAACATACGAAGTTTTCTGTGTCTGGCTTTTTTTACTTAACATAATGACCATCAGTTGGTCTCACTGTATTGCCCAGGCTGGTCTCAAACTCCTGGGCTCAAGTGATCCTCCTGCCTTGGCCTCCTGAAGTGTTGGGATTGCAGGCCTGAGCCACCATGCCTGGCCTAGATTAAATGTTTGACATCAAATTTGTCGTGTTATCTTTACCAGTTTGGCTCATGTTACTTTTTAAATAGAAATAGCTTTATTGATCTTTTGACTTTAAAATTATGTGTTGGTTGCAAGACAATGTAGGGAAATACAAGAAGTTATAGTTTTGTTTGAGCAAATGTCAATGTTTGCACAGGTTGTTCTGTACACTCTCCTAAGCCAAGAGAGAAGAGCTGATCCAGAGGCTGGCTTGCTTCTCTACCTCAAGACTGGTCAGATGTACCCTGTGTCTGCCAACCATCTAGATAAAAGAGGTTGAGCTGTTTTCTTTTAGTTGTACTTCTTTGCCCATCCCCCACTTCAGCTTCTGGTGATACATATTTATACCTGACAATCTACTCACAGTACTTACTAGGTTATAATTTGTAGCTGTGGGTTTTTTGTTGTTGTTTTGTATGTGTGTATTTTTGTTTTTGTTTTTTGAGATAGAGTCTCACTCTGTTGCCCAGGCTGGAGTGAAGTGGCACAATCTTTTCTCACTGCAACCTCCACCTTCTGGGTTGAAGCAATTCTCCTGCCTCAGTCTCTTGAATAGCTGGGATTACAGGCATGTGCCACCATGCCTGGCTAATTATACTTTTAGTAGAGATGGGGTTTCGCCATGTTGGCCAGGCTGGTCTTGAACTCTTGGCCTCAAGTGATCTGCCCGCCTTGGTCTCCGAAAGTGCCGGGATTATAGGCATGAGCCACTGTACCTGGCTAATTGTGGTATTTTTTAAAAAGAAGTTTAATAATATACTCCATAGTTGAAAACATTATTAATCTTTTAAAATTTTATTATGCAAAACTTTATTTCAAACTTTCTATTTTATATTAAAGAAAGATATTCTAGATAGCTGTATTTATCCTCAGCATTCAGCTAATACCAACTTCACGATGCTTACTAGTTATGAAATACATAGTTTAAAGAACTTATAAAGTGAACAGAAACTTAAAGGAAATGTACCAACATGTTGTTATTCTTTTTTTTTTTTTTTTTTTTTTTTTTTTTGAGGCAGAGTCTCGCTCTGTCGCCCAGGCTGGAGTGCAGTGGCGCGATCTCGGCTCACTGCAAGCTCCGCCTCCCGGGTTCCCGCTATTCTCCTGCCTCAGCCTCCTGAGTAGCTGGGACTACAGGCGCCGCCACCACGCCTGGCTAATTTTTTTGTATTTTTAGTGGAGACGGGGTTTCATTGTGTTAGCCAGGATGGTCCGATCTCCTGACCTCGTGATCCGCCCGTCTCGGCCTCCCAAAGTGCTGGGATTACAGGCTTGAGCCACTGCGCCCGGCCTGTTATTCTAGTATAGTGGGAAATATGAATACTGTTTTCTCCTTTTTAAAATGTTTTTATTTTTATTTATTTATTTATTTTTTTGAGACCGAGTTTTGCTCTTGTTACCCAGGCTGGAGTGCAACGGTGTGATCTCAGCTCACCGCAACCTCTGCCTCCCGGGTTCAGGTGATTCTCCTGCCTCAGCCTCCTGATTAGCTGTAACACAGTCATTCGCCACCAGTCCCGGCTAATTGTGTATTTTTAGTAGAGACAGGGTTTCACCATGTTAGTTAGGCTGGTCTCGAGCCCTTGACCTCTGGTGATCCGACCTCCTTGGCCTCCCAAAGTGTTGAGATTGCAGGTGTAATCCACTGCGCCCGGCCCTGAAATGTTTTTAAATCTGAAAGTTTTACATATGTAGTGAAAAATACATAATACACTTTATTTAATTCTTAAAAAGACATTAACCTTTTTTTCATAGAATTATTAAAGCTAAGAAACCAGATGGCATTCTCATTGTTTCACCGTATTAGCAAATCTGCTACTAGACAGAAGACACAGCTTGCTTCTTTGCCACAAATAATTGAGGAAGAGAAAACTTGTAAATATTGTTCACAAATGGGCAACTGTGCTCTTTATAGCAGGTAAGTATTGTCTACCAAAGGCATTATTTCTAGTTGAGTATGAACTCAACTAAATATATTTAAAATTGGTGGCCAGTCCAGCATTGGTAACATCATTTTCGTTATTTTTCTTTTATATTTTCCTTTGTGTGTATTATTTCTAAAATTAAGATAATAGGGGGAAAAAAAAAAAACACAGTACTTTTTTTTTTTTTTTTTTTTTTGAGACGGAGTTTTGCTCTTGTTGCCCATGCTGCAGTGCAATGGTGCAATCTCGGCTCACCGCAACCTCTGCCCTCCGGTTCAAGCAATTCTCCTGCCTCAGCCTCCTGCGTAGCTGGGATTACAGGCATGCGCTACCATTCCTGGCTAATTTTGTATTTTTAGTGGAGAAGAGGTTTCATCATGTTGGTCAGGCTGGTCTCGAACTCCTGACCTCAGGTGATCCACCCATCTCAGCCTCCTGAAGTGCTGGGATTACAGGCATGAGCCACTACGCCCAGCTAATTTTTTGTATTTTTAATAGAGATAGGGTTTCACCATGTTGGCCAGGCTGGTCTTGAACTCCTGACCTCAAGTGATCTGCCTTGGCCTCCCAAAGTGCTGGGATTTTAGGCTTGAGCCACTGTGCTAGGCTGAAGTTAACATAAATACTTTTTTTTTTTTTTTTTTTTTTTGTGACAGAGTCTCACTCTGTTGCCTGGGCTGAAGTGCAGTGGTGCAATCTTGGCTCACTGCAGCCTCTTCCTCCTGGGTTCAAGCAATTCTCCTGCTTCAGCCTCCCGAGTAGCTGGGACTACAGGTGTCCACCACCACTCCTGGCTAATTTTTTGTATTTTAATAGAGACGGAGTTTCACTGTGTTGCCCAGGTTGGTCTCGAACTCCTGAGCTCCGTCAATCTGCCCACTTCGGCCTCCCAAAATGCCAGAATTACAGGCGTGAGCCTCTGTGCTCGGCCTTACATAAACACTCTTTAAGGTGTTTTTTCAAGGGATCTCTTAATGGCAGAGGACTGTGAACCATAGGAAGTCTGGGCACATTTCTTTGAAATCTTATGTTTATTGTCAGTGTTTTGTATGCTGTCCTATAGCGTGTTTGTTTCTATAGAAAATATTTTAATCTGGTATTAAGTAAAATCCAAATGATTCTCCATGTTTTTATGTGTACCTACGTCACTGAGCTGGGTGTACAGATTGTGATTTTTGAGAAATGAAGTTGTATTAAAAGCCAAAACTTGTTGCATATGGGAATGAAGATTAGAATATACCCAACCTGAGTTGTTTGGGGGATAGTCACTGAAGGCAAAATAATGCAGTATTGAGTTTCTTACACATTTTGTTTTATAAAAAGCCATATGGCTTATAAAATGTTGAAATGACTTTTAAGGAAAATTAGGGGCTGTGGTTATGAGTTATGATGATCATATATGTGTTCTTATTTTGGAATTATCTCACTTCATGCCCAGCCAGGGAAATGGTTTATAAGCATCTCTAACTTGGAACTTTATATTTAGAGCAGTTGAACAACAGATGGATGGTAGTTCAGTTCCAATTGTGATGCTGCCCAAAATAGAAGAAGAAACCCAGCATCTGAAGCAAACACACTTAGAATATTTCAGCCTTTGGTGTCTAATGTTAACCCTGGAGTCACAATCAAAGGATAATAAAAAGAATCACCAAAATATCTGGCTAATGCCTGCTTCGGAAATGTAAGTAGTCCATTTATTACAGTAAGATTTCAGTAGTTTGGATTAGTTAGTGAGGTGGCATTTGGAATTTATGACAAATACAGGTTATGTAGCATGTTATAGATAAGTGATTTCATTTATTCATGACAACTGCAGATAGCTCTTAGTTGTTGCTAACAAGAGCACCATTCCTGTGTATCCTATGTGCTACAATGATTGCTAGTTAATAATAAAGTTTCAGTAGACTAGATATGCCTCAAGAAATATTGTTGTTGTTTTTTTTTTCTTTTTTTGTTTGAGACAGAGTATTGCTCAGTTGCCCAGGCTGGAGTGCAGTGGCGCGATCTCAGCTCACTGCAAGCTCCGCCTCCAGGTTCACACTATTCTCCTGCCTCAGTCTCCCAAGTAGCTGGGATTACAGGCACCCGCTGCCACACCTGGCTAATTTTTTGCGTTTTTAGTAGAGATGGGGTTTCACCATGTTAGCCAGGATGGTCTCGATCTCCTGACCTCGTGATCCACCCGCGTTGGCCTCCCAAAGTGCTGGGATTACAGGCGTGAGCCACCGTGCCCAGCCAAGAAATACTGTTTTAAAAATTACTTTTCTTTGGGAGGCCGAGGTGCGTGGATCACCTGAGGTCAAGAGTTTGAGACCAGCCTGGCCAACATGGCGAAACCCCATCTTTACTAAAAATACAAAAATTAGCTGGGCGTGGGGGCGAGTGCCTGTAATCCCAGCTACTCTGGAGGCTGAAGCAGGAGAATCGCTTGAACCTGGGAGGCGGTGGCTGCAGTCAACCAAGATCGTGCCATTGCACTCCAGCTGGGCAACAAGAGCAAAACTGTCTCAGAAAAACAAAAACAAAAAATTAGCTGGGCGTGGTGGCAGGCGCCTATAATCCCAGCTACTTGGGAGGCTGAGGCAGGAGAATTGCTTGAACCTGAGAGGCGGATGTTACAGTGAACCAACATTGCACCACTGCACTCCAGCCTGGGTGACAGAGCGAGACTCTGTCTTAAAAAAAAAAAAAAAATTACTTTTGTCGGGGCGGTGGGTCATGCCTGTAATCCCAACACTTTCGGATGCTGAAGCAGGTGGATTGCTTGAGCTTTGAGTTTGAGACCAGCCTGGGCAACATGGCAAAACCCTGTCTCGGCCGGGCGCGGTGGCTCACGCCTGTAATCCCAGCATTTTGGGAGGCCGAGGCGGGCGGATCACAAGGTCAGGAGATCGAGACCACCCTGGCGAACACGGTGAAACTCCGTCTCTACTAAAAACACAAAAAAATTAGCCGGGCATGGTGGTGGGCACCTGTAGTCCCAGCTTCTCTGGAGGCTGAGGCAGGAGAATGGTGTGAACCCAGGAGGCGGAGCTTGCAGTGAGCCCAGATCACGCCACCTCACTCCAGACTGGGAGACAGAGCGAGACTCCATCTCAAAAAAAAAAAAAAAAAAAAAAAAACCCCTGTCTCTACAAAAAATACAAAAATTACCTGGGTGTGGTGGTGCATGCATGCCTGTAGTCCTAGGCTGAGGTGGGAGGATGGCTTGAGCCAGAGGTGAAGGTTGCAGTGAGCTGAGATTGCACCAGTGCACTCCAGCATGGGTGATAGATCCAGACCTTGACTCAAAAAAAAAAAAAAAAAATTATTCAAAATCCTGTTAAAAGTTTTCAGTATATACTTTTTCATTGGTGATAACATTATAAACTTGAGTATATCTTAAAGTGAATTGTTATATAGTATATAGTGTATATATTGGTATAATGCAAATTAGTGTGGCATTTTTTTTTTTTTTTTTTTTGAGACGGAGTCTCGCTGTGTCTCCCAGGCTGGAGTGCAGTGGCGTGATCTCGGCTCACTGCAAGCTCCGCCTCCCAGGTTCACGCCATTCTCCCGCCTCAGCCTCCCAAGTAGCTGAGACTACAGGCGCCCGCCACCACGCCCGGCTAGTTTTTTTTTTTTGTATTTTTAGTAGAGACGGGGTTTCACCATGTTAGCCAGGATAGTCTCGATCTCCTGACCTCGTGATCCACCCGCCTCGGCCTCCCAAAGTGCTGGGATTACAGGCTTGAGCCACCGCGCCCGGCCTAAAATTTTTTTTTAACTTTTTTGAGATGGAGTCTCACTCTGTCACCCAGGCTGGAGTGCAGTGGCACGATCTCAGCTCATTGCAACCTCTGCTGTCTGGATTCAAGCTATTCTCCTGCCTCAGCCTCCAAGTAGCTGGGATTACAGGTGCCTGCCACTGCGCCCGGCTAATTTTTGTAGTTTTAGTAGAGATGGGGTTTCACCATCTTGGCCAGGCTGGTCTTGAAGTCCTGACCTAGTGATCCACCCACCTTGGCCTCCCAAAGTGATGGGATTACAGGCATGAGCCACCTTGCCTGGCCTAAATACTCGTATTTTAAATGTTTATATTTTCAGTAACTTTTGATACAGATGCAAATTTTCTAAAGGTCCATTTCATAGTCCTTGTGGGATTCACTTAAAAAAAAATAAGTCACTTGTAAAATTAGAATTTTTTTTTTTTTTGAAGACCCAGGGTCACAGTCTACTGCCCTGGCTGGAGTATAGTGGTGCAATCATGGCTCACTGTAGCCTCGAACTTCTGGGATAAAGTTCACAGTCTTCCTGTCTCAACCTGAGTAGCTAGGACCATAGGTGTGCACCACCAAACTTGGCTAACTTTTTTTTTTAGAGATGGGGTCTTGCTGTGTGCCCCAGGCTGGTCGTGAACTCCTGGCCTCAAGTGATCTTGATCACCCAAAGTGCTGGGCCACTGCATTACAGCTGCGAGCCACTGTGCCATGGCTAATTTTTTTGTTTTATTTTATTTTACATTATTGTAGAAACAGGGTCTTGCTATGTTGCCCAGTACAGTCTTAAATTCCTGAGCTCAAGTGATCCTCCCATCTTGGCCTCCCAAAGTGTTGAGACTATAGGTATAAGCCACTATGCCTGGCCTAGAATTTATCTTTGCATAGTATTTTTCTTTATGTAAAATTTCATTGCTTTAGCTTCATTTTTTCTTTGCAGAATGAATATTAATGATGTGACTTTAGAAATAATTGGATCATCATTTCCCTAATATTAGACTTTAACACAAGGAAACATTGCAGTGGAGAAAGTTTATATAATTGTGGATAGACTGCGTATGTGTAGTGAGTATACTATACATATGTAACATTTATGTAAAATTTAATTGCTTTCATTTTTTTAATCTCAGGCCTTTTGTAATATGTAAAACTTTTTTTTTTTTTTTTTAGACAAAGTCTTGCTCTGGGCCGGGTACGGTGGCTCACGCCTGTAATCCCAGCACTTTGGGAGACTGAGGGGGGCGGATCACGAGGTCAGGAGATCGAGACCATGCTGGCTAACACAGTGAAACCCCGTCTCTACTAAAGATACAAAATATTAACTGGGCATGGTGGTGGGTGCCTGTAGTCCCAGCTACTCCGGAGGCTGAGGCAGGAGAATCCCATGAACCCGGGAGGCGGAGCTTGCGGTGAGCCAAGATTGCGCCACTGCAATCCAGCCTAGTCAACAGAATGAGACTCTGTCTCAAAAAAACAAAAAAAAAATAAATAAAAAAGTCTTGCTCTGTCACATAGGCTGGAGTGTCTCGGCTCACTGCAATCTCTGCCTCCTGGGTTCCAGTAATTCTCATGCCTCAGCCTCCCAAGAAGCTGTGATTACAGGCACGTGCCACTACGCCTTACTAATTTTTGTATTTTTAGTAGAGACAGGGTTTTGCCATATTGACCAGGGTAGTCTCGAACTCCTGGCCTCAAGCAGTCTGCCCACCTCAGCCTCCCAGAGTGCTGGGATTACAAGTGTGAGCCACTGCACCCAGCCAAATTTTTTTTTTTTTTTTGAGATGGAATCTCACTCTGTCGCCTAGGCTGGAGTGCAGTGGCACAGTCTTGGCTCATGGCAACCTCTGCCTCTGAGATTCAAGCGATTCTCCTGCCTCAGCCTCCCAAGTAGCTGGGATTACAGGCATGTGCCACCACGCCTGGCTAATTTTGTATTTTTAGTAGGGATGGGGCTTCTCCATGTTGGTCAGGCTGGTGTTGAACTCTCAGCCTCACGTGATCTGCCTACCTCGGCCTCCCAAAGTTCTGACATTACAGGTGTGAGCCACCGCACCCAGCCTCAAGATTTTTTAAATGTAAAACTTAGTTGTTTTAGTTTCATTTTTTTCTTTCCAGAATGAATTATTATTATTATTATTTTTTGTGCGGGACGAATTCTTGCTCTGCTGCCGAGGCTGGAGTGCAATGGCATGATCTCAGCTCACCACAACTTCCGCCTCCCGGGTTCAAGTGATTCTCCTGCCTCAGCCTCCTGAATAGCTGGGATTACAGGTGCCCACCACCATGCCTGGCTAATTTTGTATTTTTAGTAGGGATAGGGCTTCTCCATGTTGGTCAGGCTGGCGTTGAACTCTCAGCCTCACGTGATCTGCCCACCTCGGCCTCCCAAAGTGCTGAGACTACAGGCATGAGCCACTGTGCCTGGTTATAATTTTTTTTATATTACATTTGGGAGCAGGTTATTATGTTTTGTTTTCTGTAATGGTATTATATGTATCAGCCCAAGAAGTCGGGGTATCTACCCTTCAGGGATCAAAGTGCCAATAAAACACCGTGTTTGGAGATCCCAGCCTGTGGGTGCAACAAAGGTGGTGTGCTCCCTAACACTTTCTTGCAAGACTGTTGTTGAGCAATTAATGAAAAACTAATAGAGGGCTGAGCATGGTGCCTCAGGCTTGTAATCCCAGCAACTTGGGCGGCTGAGTCTTGTGGGTCACTTGAGGCCAGGGTTTCGAAAGCAGCCTGGCCAACATGGTGAAAACCTGTCTCTACTAAAAACATAAAAAATTAGCTTGATATGGTGGTGTCTGCCTGCAATCCCAGCTACTCAGGAGACTGAGGCATGAGAATCGCTTGAACGGGGCAGGGGTCGGAGGGTGTCTCAAAAAACCCAGAAACTAATAGAATGTTTACTTAACATTTCTAACATTTTTACTGTAGGTTGTGGAAAATGTAAAAATGACAGGCTCAATATTAGTTTTTAAAATTTTTTTGTTTCTTTTTTTGAGATGTAGTTTTGCTCTTGTTGCCCAGGTAGTTGAGCAATAGCGCAATCTTGGCTCACTGCAACTTCCACCTCCCAGGTTCAAGTAATTCTCCTGCTTCAGCCTCCTGAGTAGCTGGGATTACAGGTGAGCACCACCACACCTGGCTAATTTTTTGTATTTTTTATTTTAGTAGAGATGAGGTTTCACCATGTTGGCCAGGCTGGTCTTGAACTTCTGACCTCAGGTAATCCACCTGCCTCATCCTCCCGAAGTGTTGGGATTACAGGCATGAGCCACCACACCCAGCCTCAATAATACTTTTTGGGAGTCAGATGAACAAATAAGTTGTTGGAAAATACAGACACAATACTTATGTATGTAATATAAACGGAAGTTTTTTCTCTTTGGTCTTTTCATAGGGAGAAGAGTGGCAGTTGCATTGGACACCTGATTAGAACCGAACATGTAAAGACAATTTGTGATGGACAATATTTACATAATTTCCAACGTAAACATGGTGCCATACCAGTCACAAATCTACTGGCAGGTGACAGAGTTATTGTAAGTGGAGAAGAAAGGTCACTGTTTGCTTTGTCTAGAGGATATGTGAAGGAGATTAACACGACAACAGTAACTTGTTTATTAGACAGGTAATGAAATGTTACTTTTTTTTGAGAATATCTTTATTGATATATAATTCACATCTGTGTAGTTCATCCATTTAAAATGTACAATTCACTGGTTTTTATTATATTCACAGCATTGTGCAGCCATCACCACAATTAACTTTGAGTATTTTCATCACCCCAAAAAGAAACCCCCAAGGAAGAAGCCCTATACCCTTTAGTAGTCGCTTCTCATTTTCCTCCAATTTCCCCAGCCCAAGGCAACCACTAACCTGCTTTCTGTCTCTGTAGATTTGCCCATTCTGGACATTTTATATAAATGGAATCATGCAATATGTGGTCTTTGGTGACTGACTTTTTTCATACAGGACGCTGTTTTTGAAATTCATCTTCATGTTTTAACATGTATCAGCATTTCATTCTTTTTTTTTTAAATAAATTGAGGTAAAATTCATGTAACATAAAATTGATCATTAACCATTTTAATGTGTATTATTAAGTGGCGTTTAGTGTATTTCCAATATTATGTCACCATCATTTCTGTCTATTTCTAAGACACTTTTATTACCCTAAAAGGAAACCTCATTCCTATTACGCAGTCACTTCCCACTCTCTCCTCCCTGAAGTCTCTGGCAACCACTAAATTGGCTTTGTTTCTGTATGGATTCATCCATTCTGGATATATGATATAAGTGGAACCATACAATATGTGACCTTTTGTGTCTTGCTTCTTTCACTTAACCTAATGTTGGAAAGTTTATTCATGTTTTAGCATATATGATACCCTTATTTTTTTTATGGCTGAATATATTCTGTTGTATGGATATACCACATTTTGTTCATCCGTTCACCAGCTGATGGACATTTGAGTTGTTTCCACTTTTTTGCTGTAATGATTAATATTGCTATGAACATTCACATGCATAGTTTTAGGTAGACATATTTTCATTTCTTTCATTTTCTTTGTAGTTACCTAGGCATGGGTCATGTGCTAATTTCGCATTTAACATTTCGAGGAACTACCAAACTGCTAAAGTTTTGTTTAGTACATTATATTCCATAGTGATGATGTGGACGTAATCTTATCTAATTCTTACAACCGCATGTATAGCAGACAGCATAGATGCCATCCTGTGTTAGCTATAATGCTTATTTCTCCTTGCATGCTGGGCACTTACTATTTTGTTCTCTCCTTTTTTAAATAAAAATGTTTATTTTTGCCATTTATAGTTGTGATATAAGTATACCCATTTCAGTTACAACGAAGTGGCTGGTTTAAATAAAAATATGTAGGCGGGGCGCAGTGGCTCATGCCTGTAATCCCAGCACTTTGGAAGGCCGAGGTGGGCGGATCACAAGGTCAGGAGATCGAGACCATCCTGGCTAACATGGTGAAACCCGGTCTCTACTAAAAATACAAACAACTGGCTGGGTGTGGTAGCATGTGCCTGTAGTCCCAGCTACTCGGGAGGCTGAGGCAGGAGAATCACTTGAACCTGGGAAGCAGAGGTTTCGGTGAGCCGAGATCACGCCACCGTACTCCAGCCTGGGCAATAAGAGCGAGACTCAATCTCAAAAAAAAAAAAAAAAGAGGTTGAGACTGCAGTGAGCTGAGATCACACCTCTGCACTGCACATAGCCCAAGTGACAGAGTGAGACCCTGTCTTAAAGAAAAAAAAATTGTGGCAGAGAACAATATCCAATTCACTAATAATCCATATTCCCTCTTCTTTCACAGTCAGCTGGATTGTGTTTTCCAGCATTTCTTACAGTTAATACAGGCATGCCTGACCATTTCTTAATGGATAGAGGTCAGCAATTGGGACTCAGTTACATCTGAGTAACTGTAATGGAAATGTCCAGGCTTGTTCCCTACTGATCAGTAATCTTAGTTGAGTCATAACCACCCCTTGTCTAGATGTCATGATATATTCCAGTTGTCTGCTCAGATTTGTGTATCCTTTGCAGTATTTATTTAGTGTCTACCATGTATTAAGTACTTTGCAAATCCTTGAGGAATTTACGGTCTTGCGTGTAGACATACGTATTTTCTTTTTTTTTTTTTTTGAGACACAGTCTCACTCCAGCCCAGGCTGGAGTACAGTGGCATGGTCACAGTTCACTGCAGCCTGGACTTCCTGGGATCAAGCAATCCTTCTGCCTCAGCCTCCTGCATAGCTGGGACCACACATGCATGCCACCATACTCGGCTAATTTTTAAATTTTTTGTAGAGATGGGGGTCTCACTATGTTGCCCAGGCTGGTCTTGAACTGATGGGCTCAAATGATCCTTCTACCTCAGCCTCCTGAAGTGCTAGTATTATAGGCGTGAGCTGCTACCCCCAGCTTATTTTCAATCTAATATGATATGTGTTCAAATTGATAGGAACACAGAGGAGAAGTATTTAATTCAATTTTAGGAGGCTCAGGGAAGGCTTTTTTTTTTTTTTTTTTTTTTTGGAGACAGTCTCACTGTTGTCCAGGCTGGAGTGCAGTAGCGCAATCTCAGTTCACTGCAGTCTCTGCCTCCTGGGCTCAAGCGATTCTCCTGCCTCAGCCTCCCGAGTAGCTGGGATTATAGGCATGTGTCACCATGCCCGACTAATTTTTATATTTTTAGTAGACATGGGGTTTTACCATGTTGGCCAGTGATCTCAAGTGATCCTCCCATCTCAGCTTCCTGAAGTGTTGGGATTACAGGCGTGAGCCACCGTCCCTGGCCAAGGGAAGCCTTTTCGAAGAGCTAATTCTGAATCTTCATCCTGTGGATTAATAAATTAGTCTGGTGAAACAGTGTGAGAAGAGAATACTATACTGGGCAAACCTGTTGCACAAAGGTGTGATGTAGTGTGACATGAAGCATTCAGGAAAATGCAGGTGATTATGTTATTTCTGGAATATAAAATATAAGGAAGAGAGTTATTAGAGAGATCAGGTCATAGAATGTCTTATATACCATGTTAAAAAGTTTGCCATTCTGGGCCACATAGTGAGACCCCCATCTCTCCAAAAAATTAAAAAATTAGCCAGGTGTGGTAGTGTACATGTGTAGTCCCAGCTACTCAGGGGACTGAGGTGAGATAATTGCTTGAGCCCAGGAGTTCAAGGCTGCAATGAGCCATGATCATGCCACTGCACACTAGCCTAGGCAATAGAGCAAGACCCTCTCTCAAAAAAAAAAAAAAAAGTTTAGATTTTATTTATTCTGATGTATGGAAAGGTTTTAAACAGAAGAGTAGAAAATCATTGGATTTGCATTTTCCTTTGGCTACATTATAGAGAATTGAGTTAATTAATGGAAGAAAAACTAAAAGCAAACCTGGAAGCTGTTGCAGTGACCCAGGCTAGAGGCAACTGAGGCAGGGTAGTGTTGGCAGAGCGAATGGAATGACTTTGAGAAGTATTTAGAAAGTAAAATTGGCTGACGTTTGGATACTGATTGGGTATGCGGGTTGGGGAGAGAATGAGGGAGAGGGAAGGATCAAGACAGCAGTGCAAATGCAAATGCCATTAATTGTGATCAGGACCAGAGAAGGAGCATCGGGTTCAGCAGGGATGAGGAGGAGTTCTGCTTTGAAGGTACTGTGCTTTCATAGCCTGGGTTTAGCTAAGTGGAGAGATTTCACTGCCTACCAAATATCCAAACCCAAAGCTTGGGTGAGGAACCAGGTGGGAGAGGAGTGTGAAGTCAGGCCTAAAGATGGAATTTGGAATTTGGAGGTACGTGAGGGCCTGGGACCCTGGGGAAAACAACGAGAAAGAGTATTACAATGAACCAGGGAAGGAATTCTTTTTTTTTTTTTTTTTTTGAGACTGAGTCTGGCTCTGTCGCCCAGGCTGGAGTACAGTGGCCGGATCTCAGCTCACTGCAAGCTCTGCCTCCCGGGTTTACGCCATTCTCCTGCCTCAGCCTCCCGAGTAGCTGGGACCACAGGCGCCCGCCACTTCGCCCGGCTAGTTTTTTGTATTTTTTAGTAGAGATGGGGTTTCACCGGGTTAGCCAGGATGGTCTCGATCTCCTGACCTCGTGATCCGCCCGTCTCGGCCTCCCAAAGTGCTGGGATTACAGGCTTGAGCCACCGCGCCCGGCCCCAGGGAAGGAATTCTAGGGAATACCAGGGATTAAGGGACAGATAGAAGAGCGGGAGAAGGTGGCAGGAAAGAAGCCTGCACTCCAGGTTAGAGGAGGGAAGAGCCATGCATTCAGGATCACTCTGGGGATGGTGAACCCATGTTTGATTGCAAGGGTAAGTGAATTTTCAGCAAATGTTGCAGGTTCCCAATTATTAATTGCTTTGACCTTGGTGCCTTGTACCTTCCCCTTCCCTCTGCCTTTTCCCACCAATCCAGGGCCTCATGCTGTCCTTGATTGGCAAGTGTGACTGAGGACTGGTAGCTATTTTAATAGCTATTCTGGCCCATTTATTATTTTAGCAGATAGCAGGATATTTCTTATACAGACTATGCGAAACAGAAAACATTCATGCATATTTGTTTTGTTGTTTTAGAAACTTGTCGGTCCTTCCAGAATCAATTTTGTTCAGATTAGACCAGGAAGAAAAAAGTTGTGATATAGAGACCCCATTAGGAAATCTTTCTAAATTGATGGAAAACACATTTGTCAGGTTTGTAACAATGAGCAAATTTGAATTTCACTCCACTTTTCTAAGGAATATTACTAAAAGTGCTTTTTCACTTTTCAGCAAAAAACTTCGAGATTTAATTATTGACTTTCGTGAACCTCAGTTTACATCCTACCTTAGTTCTGTTCTTCCACATGATGCAAAGGATACAGTTGCCTGCATTCTAAAGGGTATGCTAAAATCACCATGTCTGCTTTGATTAATTTTTCTTGTTTCTATTTGATTTATACTGTGGTCTAATATCTTGATTAGACTTGCAATTACAATGTTTAGACCAAGACTCTTTGGAAATGGTTTTGTATTGAAGAATAGACTTGAATAGAGACTGCTTTTCTGATAAAATAATTAACTTTTCCTTTGAAATTCAACACTCTTTTTCCTGTTATTTTTGAATTTAAATGTAGGTTTGAATAAGCCTCAGAGGCAAGCGATGAAAAAGGTACTTCTTTCAAAAGACTACACACTCGTCGTGGGAATGCCTGGGACAGGAAAAACAACTACGATATGTACTCTTGTAAGATTATTATTCTTCTGCTTAGAAACGAAATATTTGTATCAGCTTCTCCTCAGTTCAGAGGATGTAATATTTAATATCAAAAGGGCTGAATTTTAATTCAAACTATCATTGTTTCAAATGAACTTTTTGGAATGACATGAGAAATAGTAAAGCCGAATCACAAACAGTTGTAATCATGTTGTAGGTTTCTTGCATTTAGAATTTTCTAAGATCTCTTTCCGTTAGTGGTATGTGATATATATCATTGTATGTTTTCTTTTTTTTTTTTTTTTTTTTGAGACGGAGTCTCACTGTGTCTCCCAGGCTGGAGTGCAGTGGCGTGATCTCGGCTCACTGCAAACTCCGCCTCCCGGGTTCACGCCATTCTCCCGCCTCAGCCTCCCAAGTAGCTGGGACTACAGGCGCCCGCCACCACGCCCGGCTAGTTTTTTGTATTTTTAGTAGAGACGGGGTTTCACCATGTTAGCCAGGATAGTCTCGATCTCCTGACCTCGTGATCCACCCGCCTCGGCCTCCCAAAGTGCTGGGATTACAGGCTTGAGCCACCGCGCCCGGCCCACTGTATGTTTTCTTTTACCTTTAAAGATGATGTTAGAGGCTCGGCATGGTGGCTCATGCCTGTAATCCCAGCGCTTTCGGAGGCTGAGGCAGGCAGATCACTTGAGGTCAGGAGTTCGAGACCAGCCTGGCCAACACGGTGAAACCCCATCTCTACTAAAAATACAAAAATTGGCCGGACGTAGTGGCGGGCGCCTATAGTCCTAGCTTTACTTGGGAGGCTGAGGCAGGAGAATCACTTGAACCCAGGAGGCGGAGATTGCAGTGAGCCAAGATCATGTCATTGCACTCCAACCTGGGCAACAAGAGCAAAGCTCTGTCCTAAAGAAAAAAAAAAAAGGTTAGAGATTTTTCTTGGATTTTTTTTTTCCATGTCAGTAAATTTCTTTTTTTTTTCTTTTTTTTTTTTTTGAGACAGAGTCTTGTTATGTGGGCCAGGCGAGGTGGATCATACCTGTAATCCCAGCACTTTGGGAGTCTGAGTCAGGAGGGTTGGTATTTGAGACCAGGTTGGAATGCAGTGGCATGATCACAGTTCATGCAGCCTCAACCTCCTGGACTGAAACAGTCCTCGTTCCCGAGCCTCCCAAGTAGTTGGGACCACAGGGGTGTACCACCTCACCTGGCTAATTAAAAAAAAATTTTTTTAAAAGAGATGGGATCTCACTTTGTTGCCCAGGCCAGTCTTGAATTTCTGGGTTCAAGTGATCCACTTGCCTCAGCCTCCCAAAGTGCTGGGATTACGAGCATGAGCCACCATGCCTGGCCTATGACATATTATTGATGTATTATTAATAACGTATAATATTGTCATGTGATTTTTGTAAAATGTTTTGGCTTCATAATTTTTTTAAAATCAGCTCTTAGATATGGTTCTTGTTAAATTTATAAACATGTTAAAAATTATCTGGAATTAAAAGTAAGGCTGTTTTTTCTTTTTCCTCTTACCCATTATTAGGTAAGAATTCTCTATGCCTGTGGTTTTAGCGTTTTGTTGACCAGCTATACACACTCTGCTGTTGACAATATTCTTTTGAAGTTAGCCAAGTTTAAAATAGGATTTTTGCGTTTGGGTCAGACTCAGAAGGTTCATCCAGCTATCCAGCAATTTACAGAGCAAGAAATTTGCAGATCAAAGTCCATTAAATCCTTAGCTCTTCTAGAAGAACTCTACAATAGTCAAGTAAGCACAATTATTGTATAATAATACTAACAGTTAATGTCCACAGCCAGAATGAGGGGAGAAACTCTGGTGATTTTAGTCACATTGACTGAATTTGCACATGTTATATGTACTATACGACCAGTTTATTGCCTTATAGTTTGCTGTTTCCTTCTGAACTGAAATAAGATTTTGGGTTTATTATTTAGGGCTCTCTTCTAGTTTCAAATATCCTAGAAAACTGGTAATTATCAGGATTTCAGCCAGACGTGGTGGCTCACGCTTGTAATCCCAGCACTTTGGGAGTCCGAGGTGGGCAGATCATGACGTCAAGAGTTCGAGACCAGCCTGGCCAATATAGTGAAACCCTGTCTGTACTAAAAATACAAAAAAAAATTACCCGGGTGTGGTGGCGGGTGCCTGTAATTCCAGCTACTTGGGAGGCTGAGGCAAGGATAATCGCTTGAACCTGGGAGGCAGAGGTTGAAGTGAGCCGAGATCGCGCCACTGCACTCCAGCCGAGGCGACAGTGCGAGACTCCAGCTCAAAAAAAAAAAAAAAAAAAAAAATCAGGGTTTCTTAGCAAGTTTGAATTAGAAGCAATGGTACTTAATAGTCTTGTGATGACTGTCTCTAGGCTTTTATATAGAACCTAACTTTTATTTTATTTTGTTATTTAATGTTTATTTATACTGGCAGTTCTTTTTTTTTTTTTGAGACAGAGTCTGGCTCTGCCGCCCAGGCTGGAGTACAGTGGCCGGATCTCAGCTCACTGCAAGCTCCGCCTCCCGGGTTCACGCCATTCTCCTGCCTCAGCCTCCCGAGTAGCTGGGACTACAGGCGCCCGCCACCTCGCCCGGCTAGTTTTTTGTATTTTGTAGTAGAGATGGGGTTTCACCGGGTTAGCCAGGATGGTCTCGATCTCCTGACCTTGTGATCCTCCCGCCTCGGCCTCCCAAAGTGCTGGGATTACAGGCTTGAGCCACCGCGCCCGGCCTATACTGCTGTCGCCCAGGCTGGAGTGCACCAGCGCAATCTCGGCACACTGCAAGGTTTGCCTCCCGGGTTCACGCCATTCTCCTGCTTCAGCCTCCTGAGTAGCTGGGACTACAGGTGCCCACCACCACGCCCGGCTAATTTTTTTTTTTTTTAGATGGAGTTTCGCTCTTGTTGCCCAGGCTGGGCAATGGCGCCATCTCAGCTCACCACAGCCTCTGCCTCCTGGGTTCAAGTGATTCTTCTGCTTCAGCCTCCCAAGTAGCTGGGATTTACAGGCATGCGTGACCACACCATGCTAATTTTGTATTTTTAATAAAGGTGTGGTTTCTCCATGTTGGTCAGGCTAATCTCGCACTCCCGGCCTCAGGTTACCCTCCTGCCTCGGCCTCCCAAAGCGCTGGGATTACAGGCGTGAACTACCGCGCCCGGCTTTTTTTTTTTTTTTTTTTTTTTTTTTTTTCTTTTAAGCGAACCTTCCATCAAGTAGCTGGGATTATGGGTGCGGCTGTAGTGCCTGGTTTAACTGATATTTTTGTCTTTAAAAAATTTCCCAAGAATTAGATTTAATAGATTGTTCCTTTACCTTTACCTCCTTTGTCTAATGCTAGCATATTTTTGTCTAATATCTGTTCCTGTTATTTATAAATTTAGAACTGGCTAAGATGTATATCGGGTTAACATTTTTATTAAATTAAATGTTTTATTTTAAGGTAATTGTAGATTCACATGCAGTTGTAAGAAATACTAGAGCTTGTGTCGCCTTTATCCTGTGGTGACATCTTGCAAATCTGTAGTACAATGTCACACCCAGGATGTTGACATTGATACAGTCCCTATTCTATTACCACAAGATTCCTTGTGTTGCACTTTTTTAGTTGTATCCACTTCTGTCCTGCCTTGCCCCTCTTTAACCTCTGACAGCCATAACTCTGAGACTCTGATCTCCATTTTCATAATTTGGTCGTTGGAGAATGTTACCTAAATGCAGTAGCCTTTTGGGATTGGTGTTTTTCACTCAGCCTGATTATCCGGAGCTTCCCCTAGATAGTTGTATCTATTAATAGTTTGTTCCTTTTTGTTGCCAAGTATTTTTCCAAAATATGAATGTACTGCATTGTGTTTAAGCATTCACCCTCTGAAAATTTGGATTGTTTCCAGTTTTCAGATATTATGAATAAAGCTGCTGTAAACACTCATGTTACAGGTTTTTGTGTAACGTAAGTCTTCATTTCCCTGGGATAAATTCCCAGTAGTACGATTTCTGAATTGATTAGTAGTTGTGTGTTCATTTTTTTTTTTTTTTAATCTGCCAAACTGTTTTTCTAAGTAGGAACATTTTACATGTATGAGTGATCTCCTCAGCATTTGGTGGCGATACTATTTTTTTTTTTTTTTTTTTCTGAGATGGAGTCTCGCTCTGGCACCCAGGCTGGAGTGCAGTGGTGCAATCTGAGGTCGCTGCAACCTTCGCCTCCCGGATTCAAGCAATTCTGCTGCTTCAGCCTCCTGAGTAACTAGGATTACAGGCATGTGCCACCACGCCTGGCTAATTTTGTTGTATTTTTAGTAGAGATGGGGTTTCACCATGTTGGCCAGGCTGGTCTTGAACTCCCGACCTCATGATCCACCTGCTTTGACCTCCCAAAGTGCTGGGATTAGAGGCGTGAGCCACCATGCCCAACTGATACTATTTTTAATTTTAGCCATTTTGGTAGGTGTTTGGAGATTTTAATTTGCATTTACCCAGTAGTTAAAATGTGTGTGTGTGTGTGTGTGTGTGTGTATGTGCGTATGTATGTTTGAGACAAGGTCTTGCTCTGTTGCCCAGGCTGGAGTGCACTGGTGAGACCACGGCTCACTGCAGCCCTGACTTATTGGGCTCAAGTGATCTTTCTGCCTCAGCCTCCTGAGTAGCTGGAACTATACAGGCATGTACCACCACGCCTGCCTAAATATTTTAAATTTTTTAATGTTGTCCAGGCTGATCTTGAACTCCTGGGCTCACGTGATCCTCCTACCTCTGTCTGCCTCCCAAAGCGTTGGAATTACAGGTGTGAGCCAGTGTATCCAGCCATAATGTGGTGGATTTTTTTTTGTTTTGTTTTTGAGACGGAGTTTCCCTGTTACTGCCCAGGCTGGAGTGCAGTGGCGTGATCTTGGCTCACTGCAACCTCTGCCTCCCAGGTTCAAGTGATTCTCCTGCCTCAGCCTCCCAAGTAGCTGGGATTACAGGCATGCGCCACATGTTTTTTGTTTTTTGTTTTTTTTAGTAGAGACAGGGTTTTACCATGTTGGCCAGGCTGGTCTCGAACTCCTGACCTCAGATGATCCACCCGCCTCAGGCTCCCAAAGTGCTGGGATTATAGGCTTGAGCCACTGCACCCGGCCCATAATGAGGTTTTCATGTGCTTATTTGTCATCTGTATCTCCTCTTCATGTTTTTGCCCATTTTGGATTATATGCTTTGTAGTGTTGAGTTTTGAGAATTTTTAAGATGTATATTCTAATAGTAGCCCTTTAATGGATATGTGGTTTGCAGGTATTTTCTCTCACTCTATCACTTGCTTTTTATCCTCCTCATAGGGTCTTATGCAGAGCAAAAGGTGGTTTTATTTATTTATTTATTTTTTGAGACAGACACTTACTGTGTCACCCAGGCTGGAGTGCAGTGGTGTGATCTCCACTCACTGCAACCTCTGCCTCCCAGGTTCAAGCAATTCTCCTGCCTCAGCCTTTCAAGTAACTGGGACTACAGGCATGAGCCACCATGCCTGGCTAATTTTTGTATTTTTAGTAGAGATGAGGTTTCGCTGTGTTGGCCAGGCTGGTCTCAAGCTCCTGACCTCAGGTGATCCTCCTGCCTCAGCCTCCCAAAGTGCTGGGATTACAGGCATGAGCCACTGTACCTGGCCGCAAAAGGTTTTTTTTGAGGAAGTCCGGTATATATATTTTTTCCTTTTATAGATTATACTTTTGGTCTCAAGTCTAAGAACTCTGTCTGGCCCCAGATGCTGAAGGTTTTCTTTTTTGAGACAGAATCTTCCTCTGTCACCCAGGCTGGAGTGCAATGGCCCGATCTTGGCTTGCTGTAACCTCTGCCTCCCAGGTTCGAATGATTCTCATGCCTCAGCTTCCCAAGTAGCTGGGACTACAGGCATGCACTACCATGCCTGGTTAATTTTTTGTATTTTTATTAAATACAAAATATAACCACCTTGCTCTGATGAGTACCCACATGGGCGGTTGTGCTGTTGGCCTACTCATGCTGCACCTGCTTGATGTAGATGACATATTTCTTTCTGTACACCTGGACTACCTTGTCAATTTGCTGACCTTTGTAGTGTCCTTGAACTACCTGGACCTCGTCATCCTTGCGGATGGACATGGAGTGGACATTGTACTTCTGCCACAGCTCCTTGGAGAGCGGGATGACATGATCTTCCTGTGCACGTGCAAGGAGGCATTGAAGTGACGTTTGTGGTTTTTGCTGCGGTCCAAGGTCACGAAGGGATTGAACTTCATGGTGACCCTCTGGCTACCAGCGGCCTCAGGCTTGTTTTGTTTTGTTTTGTTTTGAGACAGTGACTCACTTTGTCACCCAGGCTGGAGTGCAGTGGCATGATCATGGCTCACTGCAGCCTCGACCTCCTTGGCTCAAGTGATCCTCCTGCCTCAGCCCTCCAAGTAGGTGGGACTATAGATGTATGCCACCATGCTCAGCTTATTTTAGTATTTTTTGTAGAGACAGGTTTTCACCGTGTTGCTCGGGTTGGTCTCAAACTCCTGAGCTCCAGCAATCTGCCCACCTTGGTCTCCCAAAGTGTTGGGATTACAGGCGTGAGCCACTGCGCCTGGCCCAGTTATCATATTTTTAGTTCTAAAATTTCCATTTGGCTCCTTTTATCTTCTATTTATTGACCGAGACTTTGTTTTTTGATTCATATTCAAGTGTGTTCATAATCACTCGTTAAAATGTTGTTACCATGCCTACTTTAAAATCTTGGTCAGATAGTTCTGACATCTCTGTAATTCTGGTGTCGGCATTTATAGATTGTCATCTTTTTTCATTGAGCTTGAGATTTTCCTGGTTCGTCTTATAATGATTGTTTTTTTTATTGAAACATGAGCATATTTTATTGTGACTGAAAACTTCTGTTTTAGCTGGCTTCCTCTCACACTGCCGTGGTGGGGGAAGAGGGGGTACCATTTCATTACTGCCAGGTGGGAATCAGAGTCTGGGTTCCACACTCAGTCCTCTTTGACCAAAATGCAAGGTTCCTCATTACCGCTGGGTCTGCTTGGTAGGGGTGGAAGTCTAGGCTTCTGATGTGGTCTCTACTAACATGTGGGGTTGGTACCAGTTACCAGTCATCAGGGATGAAAGACCTGACTCTACTTGGCTTTCTCTGACACCAGCCTGGTGGGGTGTGGGGCACCTTGTTACAGCCTTGAGAAGGGCAGAGATCTACCCTCCTCAGTGTTTGCTGGTGTCTGTGGTTGTGGGGCTATACTTTTTTTCCTGCGATATGTGGCTAGAGTGGTTATTGTGTGAAAATTTTCTGTCTAGCTAGGCTTTCCCTTTCCTGTTCCTTCAGCTAAAGAGAGCAGACTTTGGTTGCAGCTCTTTTTAGTCAGCACCCGCTGGTGTTTCTGGGTTGTGGCTCTCTCAGTTCCAAATCTGGGATCTATGAGGCAAAAAGAAAGCCCAGGGAATCAACTACCATGTTGTTTCTTTGGTCCTAAGCTCCCTAGCTAGTCTGCCTTCTGTCCACCTTTCAGAGTCTTCTTTTGTTTGTTTTATATACATAATGCATAAGGATTTTAGTTGTGTTTGTGGAAAGAATAAGGCAAAGTACTCCATTTTCCCAGAAGCAATGTCCTGGTTGACATTAAGAAAAAAAAAACAACCTAACTAACTTACTGCCTCTTGAATGTTCCAGATTTCCACAGGGAAATATCCGAATGTGAGCATTGGAATTAAATAATATCGAAGAATTCCTGATGCCATAGAACAAAAACCTTTTAATCTTTTCATTTCAAAAATGAGAGAAACAAAGCTACATTTCTTTTACATATTAAATAACTGATCTGTTTTCCTTGTTTTTAGCTTATAGTTGCAACAACATGTATGGGAATAAACCATCCAATATTCTCCCGTAAAATTTTTGATTTTTGTATTGTGGATGAAGCCTCTCAAATCAGCCAACCAATTTGTCTGGGCCCCCTTTTTTTTTCACGGAGATTTGTGTTAGTGGGGGATCATCAGCAGCTTCCTCCCCTGGTGCTAAACCGTGAAGCAAGGTAGGCAGACATTTAAGTGTTAATTTTGAACCAGATTCTTTTCAAGGAGTATATTTAGTACACTGATAAATCTGAATCTGATTTGTTGACAGAGCTCTTGGCATGAGTGAAAGCTTATTCAAGAGGCTGGAGCAGAGTAAGAATGCTGTTGTACAGTTAACCGTGCAGTACAGAATGAACAGGTATTTGTAACAGTGTTAGCTGGGAGTGGTTTTCATATTTGTTTCCGTCTGCTGAAACTAACATTATCTTTTGTAATTCCCTTAGTAAAATTATGTCCTTAAGTAATAAACTGACCTATGAGGGCAAGCTGGAGTGTGGATCAGACAAAGTGGCCAATGCAGTGATAAACCTACCTCACTTTAAAGATGTGAAACTGGACCTGGAATTTTATGCTGACTATTCTGATAATCCTTGGCTGATGGGAGTATTTGAACCCAACAATCCTGTTTGTTTTCTTAATACAGACAAGGTAAAAAAAATTTTTTTCTCTTTAGTTTTTGTCATTTTGTCTTATTATTTAAATTTCTCAGTTTGCATTAGCATATGCCCTGATTAGAGCTTATCAGTTAAAAGGCAAAACTAGGCCGGGCACGGTGGCTCACACCTGTAATCCCAGCACTTTGGAAGGCCAAGGTGGGCGGATCACAAGGTCAGGAGTTCAAGACCAGCCTGGCCAACATGGTGAAACTCTGTCTCTACTAAAAATACAAAAATTAGCTGGACATGGTGGCAGGCGCCTGTAATCCCAGCTACTCAGGAGACTGAGGTATGAGAATTGCTTCAACCTGGGAGGCAGAGGTTGCAGTGAGCCGAGATTGTGCCAATGCACTCCAGCCTGGGTGACAGAGTGAGACTCCATCTCTGGGGGGATAAAAAGGCAAAACTAATGTACTTCTCACACTTCAACCCAAAATAGTCTTTTCTTTCTTTTTCCTTTCTTTTTCTTTTTCTTTTTTTGAGACACAGTCTTGCTCTGTTGCCCAAGTGGCACGATCTTGGCTCACTGCAACTTCCTCCTCCCAGATTCAAGCGATTCTCCTGCCTCAGCCACCCAGGTAGCTGGGATTACAGGCACCCACCACCACACTGGCTAATTTTGTATTTTTACTAGAGATAGGGTTTCATCATGTTGGCCAGGTTGGTCTTGAACTCCTGGTTTCAAATGATCTGCCTGCTTCGGCCTCCCACAGTGCTGGGATTATAGGTGTGAGCCAATGTGCCTGGCCCGAAATAGTCTTTCTTTCTATAGGTTGAATATTTTTGGGGGGAGGTTTATTCTGGAGGTCAGTAGATGTCAAAATTGACTTTTGAAGAAGGAAAGCCACAAAGTGAACTCAAGGATATAATTCTATTTCCTAGAAAAGGAATTTGCACTGATACTATCAAAGGGCTGGGTTTACAAATGGACAGTGAGTATAATAAATCGATGTCCTTTTAAAGACTTTTTAAAAAATAGACTTTAAGGCCGGGCACAGTGGCTCATGGCTGTAATCCCAGCACTTTAGGAGGCCGAGGTGGGTGGATCACCTGGGGTCAGGAGTTCGAGACCAGTCTAGCCAACATGACGAAACCCCATCTCTACTAAAAATACAAAACTTAGTTGGGTGTGGGGCGCCTGTAGTCCCAGCTACTTGGGAGGCTGAGGCAGGAGAATTGCTTGAACCTGAGAGGCGGAGGTTGTGGTGAGCTGAGATCACACCACTGCACTCTAGCCTGGGTGACAGAGTGAAACTCCGTCTCAAAAAAAAAAAAAAAAAAAGGTTTTATTTTCTTTTGGAACAGTTTTAGGTTCATAGCAAAATTATGTGGAAGGTACGGAGGTTTCTTATAACCTCCCTCCCCCACAAATGCACACGAAGACCTTTTTACAAACCAATCATTAAACAGAAATCTGCATAAGGACTTTTTTTTTTTTTTTTTTGAGACAGAGTCTTGCTCTGTCACCCAGGCTGGAGTGCAGTGGTGCAATCTCAGCTCACTGCAATGTCCACCTCCCAGGTTGAAGCAATTCTGCCTCAGCCTCCCAAGCAGCTGGGATTACAGGCAAACACGACCACGCCCAGCCAATTTTTTGTATTTTTATTAGAGACAGGGTTTCACCATGTTGGTCAGGCTGGTGTCAAACTCCTGGCCTCAAGTGATATGCCCTCCTACACTGCCCCAAGTGCTAGGATTACAGCCGTGAGCCACGGCGCCTGGCCTTTCACAAGGACTTTAAATGACTTGATTGTTATTTCTGGGAACTAAGAATTAAGTTTTTACCCTATATTTCTACATTTTGCTTTATGTAGTGTTTCTCAGCATTGAGTTGGAAGTCTTTACATAAGTTCAAATAAAAATATAGTAACCATCTGGGCTTGGTGGCTCATGCCTATAATCCTGCAACTTTGGGAGGCTGAGGCAGGAGAATCACTTGAGGCCAGGAGTTCAGGGCCAGCCTGGGCAACATAGTGAGACCCTGTTCCTAAAAAAAAGAAAAAAAATTTCTTTATAAAATTATCTAGATGTGCCTGGGCATGGTGGCTCATGCCTGTAATCCCAGCACTTTGGGAGGCTGAGGCAGGCGGATGATTTGAGTTCAGGAGTTCAAGACCAGCCTGACCAACACGGTGAAACCCTGTCTCTACTAAAAATATAAAAAAATTATCCGGGTATGGTGCTTGCCTGTAGTCCCAGCTACTCAGGGGGCTTGAGGTAGGAGAATCGCTTGAACCTGGGAGACAGAGGTTGCAGTGAGCCAAGATCACGCCGCTGCACTCTAGCCTGGGCGACAGAGCGAGACTCTGTCTCCGAACTTAAAAAAAAAAAATTATCTGGTGTGGCATTGTGCACCTGCAGTCCTAGCTACTTAGGAGGCTGAAGCAGGAGGATCACTGAATTCCAGAGGTTGAAGCTGCCGTGAGCTATGATTGCACCACTGCAATCCAGCTTGGACAACAGAGCAAGACCCTGTCTCAAGAAAATAAAATAAGGATATAGCAACCAATTATATGAGCATATTACTCTAAAATCATTGTCTCCTGTTATTAAGATGGATGGCTGGCGGCCGGGCTCGGTGACTCATGCCTATAATCCCAGCACTTTGGGAGGCCAAGGCAGGCAGATCACCTGAGGTCGGGAGTTTGAGACCAGCCTGACCAACGTGGAAAAACCCCGTCTCCACTAAAATTAGCCGGGTGTGGTGGCACATGCCTGTAATCCCAGTTACTTGGGAGGGTGATACAGGAGAATTGCTTGAACCCAGGAGGCGGAGGTTGCAGAGAGCTGAGATTGCACCATTGTACTCTGGCCTGGGCAACAAGAGTGAAACTGTCTCAAAAAAAAACAACAACAGATGGATGGCCGGATTGGGTGGCTCATGCCTGCAATCCCAGCACTTTGGAGGCCGAGGCAGGCAGATCACCTGAGTTCAGGAGTTTGAGACCAGCCTGACCAACATGGTGAAACCTCGTCTCTACCAAAAATACAAAAATTAGCTGGGCCTGGTGGCGCACGCCTATAATCCCAACTACTCAGGATGCTGAGGCAGGAGAATCGCTTGAACCCAGGAGGCTGAGGTTGCAGTGAGCCGAGATCACGCCACTGCCCTTCAGCCTGGGCGACAGAGCGAGACTCCATCTCAAAAACATAAAAATAAAATAAATGAAAAAGATGGATGGATGGAGCCAGCTTGATGTGTGTGTGTGTGTGTGTGTGTGTGTGTGTGTGTGTGTGTGCGCGTGTGTGTGTGTGTGTGTGTTTTTAATGCCCTTGTCTGCATTTCTCAAAGCTGGTTGTTAAAAATAGGGCTCTACTACATGTCTGTGATGGAATTTTCATCTCATAGATACTACCCTTAACAACTCAGGTTGAAGAATTTTATTTTATCTTAACACCTAGGCGCAGGCAGACTTTGGAAAACTGATTCAGATAAACTCATTTATTCAGATAAACTCATTTCACAAATGACTGCTTTCTTTTTTTTTTTTTTTTTTTTTGAGATAGAGTCTTGCTCTGTCGCCCAGGCTGGCGCGATCTCGGCTCACTGCAAGCTCCACCTCCCAGGTTTACGCCATCCTCCTGCCTCAGCCTCCCAGGTAGCTGGGACTACAGGCGCCTGCCACCACGCCTGGCTAATTCTTTGTATTTTTGGTAGAGACAGGGTTTCACCTTGTTAGCCAGATGGTCTCGATCTCCTGACCTTGTGATCTGCCTGCCTCAGCCTCGCAAAGTGCTGGGATTACAGGCGTGAGCCACCACACCTGGCCACAAATGACAGCTTTCATAAACCATGATTCTAGCTTACTAATTGTAAGTTGCATTTATTTCCTTCACCAGTGATCGCTCAGAATCTTTATTTTTGCTACTTGGATTTTCTCTTTTTTACCATCAGGATTCCAAGTAAGTTGTATTAAAAATAATCAAGTTTGCTTAGGGATGATGTAGGAGGAAAGTAGTCTTTGAAGAGATGTATCAGGTATGGCAGCAGTTTTATCTGCTCCGTTATTTGTATAAAAGGGGACAAGAAAATGGAAAGAGCATAGATATGAGACCCAGATCTAAGTTTGTTTGTTTCTGAGACAGAGTCTCACTCTGACTCCCAGGCTGGACTCCCAACCTCCGACTCCCAGATTCAAGCGATTTTCCTTCCTCAACTTCCCGAGTAGCTGGGATTACAGGGACGTGCCACCACGCCCAGCTAATTTTCGTATTTTTAGTAGAGACGGGATTTCACCATGTTGGCCAGGCTGATCTCGAACTCCTGACCTTGTGATCTGCCTGCCTCGGTCTCCCAAAGTGCTGGGATTACAGGTATGAGCCATCGTGCCCAGCCACCCTAAGTTCAAATACTAGTGCCACAGTTTATTGTGAGGCCTTGGGAAAGTTACTTATTCTTTTCTGCCTTTGATTCCTGTAAAATGGGGAATAACAAAGTAAAGTATGTGAAGTTCAGTGTGTGATCAGCTTTCGTAGGTATTTTAGCCTCAGTCATAGCATGTTTAAGATAGATGGCCTCTGCGTAGCTTTCTGAAAGTGACTAATATTAATATAATTCGTTTTTGTTGATTCTTTCACCTTCATCTTTTAGACAAAGAGATTTTTCATCTCCAAATCAGTAGTACAGTCTTAATGGCCACTTGCTTACTTATAGTACTCTTTACTTTAGAGATTGTATTATCAGCAGGCTGTATATTTTTCTACTTAGGTTCCTGCACCAGAACAAGTTGAAAAAGGTGGTGTGAGCAATATAACAGAAGCCAAGGTCATAGTTTTCCTAACCTCCATTTTTATTAAGGTAATTTAGAATTTTCAAGGCTAATAAATATTAAAGTACAGAATAATAGAATATTAGACTATAAGAAACTTCTGATCTGACATTAACTCTCATTTATTAAGATAAGGGGATTGAAGCCCCATTGTTTTTATTTTGAGAAAATGTATCTAAGACATGTAATATTTTATAATGACATTTGGAGTTTTCATTTACGATAATAACTTTTTGTAATGTCAGCTGATTCTAATTGCGACAATACTGTGACTATTGTCACAGTAGGGATTGGGGATTGGAAACTTTTCTGTGAAATAAATAGCAGAAGGTAAAATGTATTTCTTTGTACTGTGTGTGTGTGAGCACTGTTTTAATGGCATATAATCCATTACATTGCCATGAAACTCAAAATTAAGGGAGCAATGTCTAAGGAATTATTTCATCATGGGAAATACGGACAAATTTAGAGCAAATTCAGTAATTGTATTCAGTCTTTGAGATAGGAAAGTGTTATAAACATCAGTTGGTCATATAATGTAAGCATTTAATTATTAAATTCAGACAAGTTTAACTTAATCAGGATTTCTTTCTTTTAAATTGTGTCTTTTTCTATTTAGGCTGGATGCAGTCCCTCTGATATTGGTATTATTGCACCGTACAGGCAGCAGTTAAAGATCATCAATGATTTATTGGCACATTCTTCTATTGGAATGGTCGAAGTTAATACAGTAGACAAATACCAAGGAAGGGACAAAAGTATTGTCCTAGTATCTTTTGTTAGAAGTAATAAGGATGGAACTGTGAGTTAATTGTGTTTGCTACTGATTGATTTGGGGCATTTCTCTCTCTTTAAAAAATTGTGGGCCGGGCGCGGTGGCTCACGCCTATAATCCCAGCCCCCTGGGAGGCCGAGGCGGGTGGATCACCTGAGGTCAGGAGTTTGAGGCCAGCCTGACCAACATGGCGACACCCCATCTCTACTAAAAATACAAAAATTAGCTGGGCGTGGTGGTGTGCGCCTGTATTCCCAGCTACTTGGGAGACTAAGGCAGGAGAATTACTTGAACCCAGGAGTTGGAGGTTGCAGTGAGCAGAAATTGCACCATTGTACTCCAGCCTGGGCAACAGAGCAAGACTCTGTCTCTAAAAAAATAAAAAATAAAAAATAAAAAAATAAATAAAAATTGTGGTTTAACATTGAGAACACGTGGACACAGAGAGGGGAACAACATATACCATGGCCTTTAGGGGCTTGGGGATGAGGGGAGGGAACTTAACCGACGGGTCAGTAAGTGCTGCAAACCGCCATGGCACATGTATACCTATGTAACAAAATTGCACATTCTGCAGATGTATTCCATTTTTTTAAAAAAATAAAATTGTGGTTTAAAAGAACACATAAAATGTATATCTTACCATTTTTTTCTTTTCTTTTTTCTTTCTTTTTTTCTTTTTTGAGACAGCATTTCCTCTTGTCACCCAGGCTGGAGTGCAGTAGTGCGATCTCGGCTCACTGCAACCTTTGCCTCCCAGGTGCAAGTGATTCTTCCGTCTCAGCTTCCCGAGTAGCTGGGATTACAGGCATCCGCCATCATGCCTGGCTAATTTTTGTACTTTTGTAGAGACTGGGTTTCACCATGTTGTCCAGGCTGGTCTCGAATCCCTGACCTCAGGTGATCTGCCCGCCTTGGCCTCCCAAAGTGCTGGGATTCCAGGCCTGAGCCACCGTGCCCGGCCCATCTTACCATTTTTAGGTGTACGGTTTAATTAGTGTTAAGTACATTCACACTGTTGTTCAACAATCTCTGGAACTTTTTCATTTTCAAATCTAACTCTGTATTCATGATTAACCACCCATTTTATTCTTCCCCAAGCCCCTGTAACCACCATTCTACATTCTATCTCTGAATTTGACTAATCTAAGTACCTCATATAAGTAGAATCGTACAGTATTTATCTTTTTGTGACTAACTTATTTCACTTAGCCAGCTAGTTCATCCTGTTGTAGTATGTGACAGGATTTCTTTCCTTTTTAAGAATGAATAATACTCCATTGTCTCTATGTACCACATTTTATTTATCCATTCATCTGTCAGATGGAATGGTTGCTTCCACCCCTTGGCTGTTGTATTTGAGGCCTGTTTCGTATAAGATCTTCCTTGTATACTTTCAAATTTATAGATAATTGAGGTTTGATTTTTTTTTTTTCCCAAGACAGGATCTGCCTCTGTCACCCAGACTGGAGTGCAGTGGCACAATCTCGGCTCACTGTAATGTCCACCTCCCTGGCTCAGTGATTCTCCCATCTCAGCCTCCTGAGTAGCTGGGATTACAGGCATGCACCACCACACCCAGTAAATTTTTTAATTTTTTTGTAAAGATGGCGTTTCGCCATGTTGTGCAGGCTGGTGGGCGACTCCCGAGCTCTAGCAATCCTCCTACGTTCATCTCCCAAAATAGTTTTTTTTGTTTGTTTGTTTTCTTATTTTTACCTCTCCTTAGTTCATTTTTCTCAACTGTATAGTATATCCATATGGTTTTAAAATATACATAATAAAAGGTTTCCTTTGTACTCCATCCCTCATCTACTCAGTTCTTACCTCAGATAGTCTCCTTTTTTTTTTTTTTTGAGACAGTTTCCCTTTGTCACCCAGGCTGGAGTGTGGAGGCATGGTTATGGCCCACTGCGTCCTTGCCTTGACTTCCTGGGCTCAAGCAGCCCTGGCTCAGTGATCCTCTCATCTCAGCCTCCTGAGTAGCTGGGACCACAGGTGCGCACCACCACGCCTGGCTAATTTTTGTATATTTTGTAGAGATGGGGTCTCACTGTGTTGCACAGGCTGGTCTTGAACTTCTGGTCTCCAGTGATCTACCTGCCTCAGCCTCCCAAAGTGCTGGGATTACAGGCATGAGCCACCATACCTGGCCTCATTCTATTCTTAAATTTGCACAGTTGTCCATTGTATAGGGGTGTGTTATAATATATTCAGCCATTCCTTTGAACTTGAATAATTGAAAATTATATTTCTTACAGGTTGGTGAACTCTTGAAAGACTGGCGACGTCTTAATGTTGCTATAACCAGAGCCAAGCATAAACTGATTCTCTTGGGGTGCGTGCCCTCACTAAACTGCTATCCTCCTTTGGAGAAGCTGCTTAATCATTTAAATTCAGAAAAATTAATATCCTTTTTGTTTTGTATATGGTCACATTTGATTGCACTGTTGTGAGTATTTATATACTTGTTTAAATTAAAACTCCATGTTGCATAAGCTGGTCTTGAACTCCTAAGCTCAAGCGATCCCCCCGCCTACGCCTCCCAAAGTGCTGTGATTACAGATGTGAGCCACGGCTCCCGGCCTATAACCTTTTTTTAACCCGGAACAAATGATTAGATTAAAATGGAGTATTATTTATTTTTTAAGATTTTTTTGTTTGTTTGTTTTTGTTTTTTAAATACAGGGCCTTGCTTTGCCACCCAGGCTGCAGTGCAGTGATATGATCAGAGCTCACTGAAGCCTCAATCTCCCAGGCTCAAGTGATCTTCCTACCTCAGCCTCCCCAGTAGCTGGGCCCACAGGTGCATGCCACCATGCCCAGATAATTTTTGTATTTGTTTTGTAAAGACAGTGTTTCACCATGTTGCCCAGGCTGGTTTTGAACACCTGGGCTTAAGTGGTTCACTCGCCTCCTCCCAAAGTGCTGGGACTACAGGTGTCAGCCACCACACTCAGCCTTTTTTTTCCCCAAGAAGTGGTGCCTAACTTCACTCAGGCTGGAGTGTAGTGGTGGGATCACTGCTTACTGCAGCCTTGACCTCCTGGACTCCCAACTTAGCCTTCCCAGTACCTGGGACCACAGGTATGTACCACCATGCCTGGCTAATTTTTAAAATTTTTAGTAGAGAGGAGGTGAGCCACTGCACCTGGCCTTAAGATAAATCATTTTTAAAAAATGTGTATGGGCTGGGCGCGGTGACTTACGCCTGTAATCCCAGCACTTTGGGAGGTCGAAGTAGGTGGATCGCAAGGTTGAGATTGAGACTATCCTGGCTAACATGGTGAAATCCTGTCTGTACTAAAAATACAAAAATTAGTTGGTAATGGTGACATGCGCCTGTAGTCCCAGCTACTCAGGAGGCTGAGGCAGGAGAATCGCTTGCACCCGGGAGGCGGAGGTTGCAGTGAGCTGAGATTGCGCCATTGCATTCTAGCCTGACGACAGGGCAAGACTCCATCTCAAAAAAACAAACAAACAAACAAAAAAAGTGTATGAAGTTCTTAGGCTTCATAAGAACTTTGTACTTCTTATGAAGGTATGAATTAGGCTAAGATAAATAACTGAGGCCAGGCGCAGTAGCTCACGCTTGTAATCCCAGCACTTTGGGAGGCCAAGACAGGCAGATTACCTGAGGTTGGGAGTTTGAGACTAGCCTGACCAACATGGAGAAACCCTGTCTCTACTAAAAATACAAAATTAGCCGGGCATGGTGGCGCATGCCTGTAATCCCAGCTACTCGGGAGGCTGAGGCAGGAGAATCTCTTGAACTCGGGAGGCAGAGGTTGCGGTGAGCCGAAATCGCACCATTGCACTCCAGCCTGGGCAACAAGAGCAAAACTCTGTCTCAAAAAAAAAAAAAAAGAAAAAAGATAAATAACTCTTATGGCTTAAGGGCGTAATTATTCATAGAATGCCATAAAGATCTGTATTTTTTTTTTGTGGTCCTGTAAATCAGATTACAAAATATTAAATAATAACGTCATAAATTTATGCCATTCTGTATTGTGCTAAATATTTCTTCCTTAATTTATTTTACATCATTGATCTTCCATCAAGAGAGCATGGAAGTCTTTGCCACATATTGGGTGACTTTCAAAGAGAATAAAACACTATTTCCCTTGCCTTTTCATACTAGGGCAGTATCTCCTCTAGCTCGTGCCTATACAGAAAATTCTATCACCATACAAAATTTCATGCAGTATTTATGTTTTTAAGCACAGGTGTACCCAAAACTGTGAAAAGTCTAAATTTATGGGTTCTATACATGTATTTTTGCCTGACCTAGAGAAAGAGTTTGATAAATTTTTACCAGCTTTGAAGATGGATTAACTTTTGACTTTGGGCTTTAAACTTTTAAATCAGACATTTCAGGACTAATTTGATTTTGTAGATATCATTGTAAGAACTTTATATGAAAGACTTGATAAAGGGATTTGATTTGTTTTCATCATTTAAACACAGTCTTGTGATGATGAGAATGTAAGTGTGATTCTTTTCTGTATTTTGAGGTCCCTAATCCAAAGGCCATTTTGCTAGGATTTTTTCTGCTATCAGATGTGTTTTCACTCTAAACCTAGTCTTTTATGACATGAATCGATTACTTCCTGTTAATTTTCTATCCTCCCTTACTATCCCCCTTTTTTGTTTTCAGTATTCAGTATTTCAGTATTCTAGAGTGGATTTTGATATAAAAGAAAATAATTCTTACATCATCTTTTGCAACAAATATTGTTTTCTGAATTGATAACAAATTTAAAAAGTAGATTCCTATTTTCACATATGTTCATATGCCCCTATGTTTGGGGGCATCACTCAGTTTTCCCTTTTTGTGTAAAGATGTTTTGTAAAACAAAATAGCCTCAAGATGATTAATTATTTATATGGGAACAGATTTTAACCTTTAAGGTTAAAATCTTGGGGTAACAGATCTTCTGGGGGTTGGAAATCTTCCATTTCTCTTGAGGGTTTTTTTTTAATGAATGCTAAATATGTTAAAATTTTTGTTTCTACCTCATGTGTTTTTTTAAATTATTACTTGAAGTTTTTTAATAAATTTTTTTACTAATGGATCTTACTGTGTCAATTATTAATACTGAATAGTAATTAAACTCAGGGTTATCATAGTGACAAGTGAATAGTTTAATAGTAATTAAACTCAGGGTTCTAATAGTGACAAGTGAAGTATTGATCATGCTGGAAAGCTGAAACCAAGCAGCACTGATATTATTAAGAGATTTATGAAGGGCACCCAGGATGGGCTTGTTCGTGGAGAGGTTATAGATCAGATAGGACAAACGGGAGAGGTTGCTGTGATGAAATGTAAATATTGGTTAGATATAATGAGAGTATAAATCAGGAAGGAATCTGATAGTAATTTCAGTTTCTGGGAATGAAATGAATAAGAAAGTCCTTTTGCTTCATTACAGGTTCATATGGCTGGAAAAGTAAAGCTCCATAGAAGAGAACCTGGGGATGTGTTCTTTGTTTCCTTTTTTTTTTTTTTTTTTTTTTGTTGATCTGTCTTGGTGATAAGAGTTTAGCCATTTAATTGTTTAAAAGAGTTAGGAAGCTGGGCATGGTGGCTCACGCCTGTAATCCCAGCACCTCGGGAGGCTGCGGCAGGTGGATCACCTGAGGTCAGGAGTTCGAGACCAGCCTGGCCAACATGGTGAAACCCTGTCTCTACTAATAACACAAAAAAATTAGCTGGGTATGGTAGTGGGCGCTTGTAATCCCAGTTACTCAGGAGGCTGAGGCAGGAGAATTGCTTGAACCGGGAAGGTGGAGGTTGCAGTGAGCCGAGATCACACCACTACACTCCAGCCTGGGTGACAAGCGCAAGACTCCATCTCAAAAAAAAAACAGTATAAAGCCACAATGCAAAGACAATGTGGCTGTTCCAGTGGCCCCTCTCCTGAATCAGTTCAGAGTTCCTGTCCCCCTCCCCCTGACTTCCCTTTTGCTGCTGTCTCCAATTCCTTTCTTTTCTCCTTATTCCTGGCTGTCTAACAGTGGGTTTTCCCCAGAGCTCCAAGTCTGGTTTGGTCCTCTTCTTTCTTCTTGGACAGTTACTGGCTTCACCCATCACCCATGTGGCTGTTTACTAAACCTGTACTACACCCTGTCTTCCAAGTTCTAGTTATATAGCTGCCTTCCAGCCAATGCCTTCAGAATATTCTGTGAACATTTTAGACTTAGTACAAAGAAATTGGAAATTTCCATCTTCATTTAATGCCTTCCTCCTGTGATCCCTATTTCTGTAAATGACATCATCTCACAGTTCTCTGTGCTTAAAGATCTTGGCATAATTTTTCTTTCTTTAAAACATTTTTGGCCTGGGTGCGGTGGCTCATGCCTGTATTCCCAGCATTTTGGGAGGCCGAGGCGGGTGGATCAGCTGAGGTCAGGAGTTCGAGACCAGCCTGGCCAACACAGTGAAACCCTGTCTCTACTAAAAATACAAAAATTAGCTGGGTGGGGTGGCGGGAGCCTGCAATCCCAGCTACTTGGGAGACTGAGGCAGGAGAATCACTTGAGCCTGGGAGGCGGAAGTTGCAGTGAGCCGAGATTGCGTCATTGCACTCCAGCCTGGGCAATAAGAGTGAAACTCTGTTTCAAACAAAACAAAACAAAACATTTTTCCCCCTCTAATTACAGAGCAGTACATATTTTAGTAAGAATTTCAAACACTACATATTTTAGAAAATGAAATTTCCCTTTTTTTTTTTTGAGATGGAATCTAGCTCTGTCACCCAGGCTGGAGTGCAATGGCAAAATCTCAGCTTATTGCAACCTCCGCTTCCCAGGTTCAAGCGATTCTCCTGCCTTAGACTCCCGAGTAGCTGGGATTACAGGCACCTGCCACCATGCCAGCTAATTTTTGTGTTTTTAGTAGAGTCGGCGTTTCACTGTGTTGGCCATGCTGGTCTCGAACTTCTGACCTCATGATTTGCCTGCCTCGGCCTCCCAAGGTGCTGGGATTACAAGCATGAGCCACCGTGCCCGGCCAGAAAATGAAATTTATTTGTAATCTCATCCTTTAGTAATTACATAGTTTGGTTTATGATGATCTAGGCTAGTATTTAAACCAAAAATACCACACCCGCAATAAGAAAATCCATTTTACATCATGACTCAATGTAAATTTGTATATGCATATGCATCTGAAACAATACTGCCATAAGACAATATTTACCCTTTGTGATATACCCTGGTATGTTCCACTCTATTCCATTAAAAACAAAGTGTGGCTGGGCACGGTGGCTCACGCCTATAATCCCAGCACTTTGCGAGGTTAAGGTGGGTGGATCACTTGAGGTCAGGAGTTCAAGACCAGCCTGGCCAACATGGTAAAACCCCGTCTCTACTAAAAATAGAAAAGTTAGCTGGGCATGGTGGTGCACGCCTGTAATCCCAGCTACTCGGGAAGCTGAGGCACAAGAATCACTTGAACCCGATTCAAGCAAGTGGAGGTGGAGGTTGTAGTAAGCCAAGATCATGCCATTGCACTCCAGCCTGGGTGACAGAGTGAGACTCTGTCTCAAATAAAATGAAAAATAAAAACAAAGCTAATTGCAACCTGTTAAAATTGCTTTCATGTCCCACTAGTAGGTCGGAACCCATGGTTTGTAACAGTGATTATTCTTTAATGGGGTCTTTGTGTATTGGTTGTAACCATATGAAACTATTTTTGCTGTTCCTGTGCATGCCTATTCTGTTTCCCATTTGATCTGCTCTCTAGATTTGTCTGTTCTTCCATCACCATTTAGGCATCTCTACCCACTTAGAAAGACTTTAAGGTGCCACCTTCTCCAAAAAGCCTTTTCTGATTTTTCTCCCAGCCAAAAGAATTATCTTCATCTGCATACAGTACTATAATAGTACCTATATGGAGCTTCATAGTATTTACTGCTTTTATTTATTTATTTATTTCTTAAGAGATGGAGTCTCTGTTGGCCAGGCTAGAGTGCATGGCAGGATCATAGTTCACTGCAACCTCAGACGCCTGGCCTCAAGTTGTCCTTCTGTCACAGCCTCCTGAGTAGCTGGGACTACCAGTGCACACCACTACACCCCGCTAACTAGAAAAAATTTGTTTTTAAAAACAGGGTCTTGCTATGTTGGCCAGGGTAGTCTGGAACTTTAGGCCTCACGCAATCCTCCTGCCTCAGCCTCTCAAAGTACTTGGATTACAGGCATGAGGTACCACATCTGGCTGTTTACTGCTTTTTTTCTTTTTCTTTTTTTTGAGATGGAGTCTCACTCTGTTGCCCAGGCTGGAGTGCAGTGGTGAGATCTTGGATCACTATAGCCTCTGCCTTCTGGGTTCCAGTGATTCTCCTGCCTTAGCCTTCCAGGTAGTTGGGATTACAGGCATGCACCACCATGCCTGGCTAATTTTTGTATTTTTAGTAGAGACGAGGTTTCACTGTGTTAGCCAGACTGGTCTCGAACTCCTGACCAGGTGATCCTCCCACCTTGGCCTCCCAAAGTGCTGGGATTACAAGCGTGAGCTACCAAACCCGGCCTGTTTACTGCTTTTTTAAAGCAGCAGTTGTAATTAGTAGGATACTTTAATATTTATCAATATTTTTCATGGATATTTTCTCAAACCCTATAGAGAACCTAGCATAGATAGTCTGTGTTAGCATATGACCCCATGGCAAGTCATTGCCAGAACCCACATTTTCTGATTAGGAATTCTGCAGTTTTCCCGGCCACTATGTGTATCTCCCTTCCCCTGCACCGCCCGGCGTGGTAACATCTTCCAGGTGCTATACAAATGTTCAGAAGCATTACAATTGTCATTGTAAGAAAATCATGTCATGAGCCAGCTAAGGCTAAGGCTGAAAGCTCTGTGGCATGATGTGACAAGGTGGTCCATCTGGATTCAGTGGACCATATTGCTCATGAAAAAGATGACTTGTAGGCTGGGTATGGTGGCTCATGCCTATAATCCCAGCACTTTGGATGGTTGAGACAGGAGGATCACTAGAGGCCAGGAGTTTGAGACCAGCCTGGGCAACATAGTGAGACCCCATCTCTATAAAAAATAAAATAAAAATTAATGGTAGCTAAATAACTCATGAAACACAAAGATGGGAAAAGAAAGGCCAGGTGCGGTTGCTCATGCCTGTAATCCCAACACTTTGGGAGGCTGAGGTGGGTGGATCACTTGAGCTGTGGAGTTCGAGACCAGCCTGGCCAACATGGTGAAACCCTGTCTTAAAAAAAAAGGGGGGAACAACAGACACTGGGGTCTACTTGAAAGATGAGGATGGGAGGAGGGAGAGAAGTAGAAAAGATAACCATTGGATACTGGACTTAACTGGGTGATGAAATAATGTGTACAACAAACCCCCACGACATGAGTTCACCTATGCAACCAACCTTCACATATGCCCTCAAACCTAAAAGTTTAAACACACACACACACACACACACACACACACACACACACACACACACACACACACAATAGTTTAGGGAAAAAAGTAATCACAATGCCCCCACCCACACATTGTAACTATTAACATTTTCAAGTACTTTACTCAGTCTCTTACCTATGCATTTATTTTTCTAACTATATATATACGTATATAGGTATATATTCATATTGCTGTATTTATTGGTAAACTAAAACTGGGATCATAAGATGTATATATATATAACTTTTTTTTTTAATAAAAAGCACAAAAATACAAAAAATTAGCTGGGTGTGGTGATGAGCGTCTGTGGTCCCAGCTACTAGGGAGGCTGAGGTGGGAGGATCACTTGAGCCTGGGAGGTGGAAGTTGCAGTGAGCTGAGATCTTGCCACTACTCCAGCATGAGTGACAGAGACCCTGTCTCAAAAAAAAAAAAAAAAGAAAAATCTCTTGTAGCTAATAGGATATGCCTATCTAATTCTACTTGAGTCACTACTGGCCCTTAAGGTGACTAAGGCTCATAATCCTGGGAAATGTGAACCGAGATGGATCCAGGGATGAAGTCTGACTTTTTTTTTTTTTTTTCTCTGACGTAATCTTGGTATTACAGGCATGCGCCACCACGCCCAGCTAATTTTTGTG